CTATGCTTATATTTCACACATAACATTATGGCTTCTTCTCAATAAATTATTCTGTGGATCTAGAAACATAGTACAGCCACATATAATCTTCATACCATAATGGTGAAATTTCGTAAAAAAATTTCAAAGAAAACAAGTGGCAAATATATATGGCATTAAGAAGAGACTATGTTTCAAATCTATTGGCTATGAATTTGAAGAATTTACTAACACGTTACAAATGTTTACCAAGCATCACTAGCTTTTATATAGAAGTAGTACTCAATTGAAAAGGATTACTGAATTTTTTGAAGATTGTGCAGTTTGTCGATAGTGTTTCTGTATCATACATTTTTGTGGAACGAAGTATGTAGACTGCATATATAGCATCATGATAAATATACCGGCTAACGAAAGAAATTGTCTCGTCTTAAATGCTGTAAATAGTGAATTGTACATTTTCTTTAATATACTATATTATATACTATTCTGAATTATACAAATTTTCATTAAAAGCAGTTTCATTCAACGTAAATATAAAAAAGGAGTTTATACAATTTTTTGCCATTATTAGTGATATTTATAAGCTAATAAAAAAATTAAAAGTTGGCAAACGTTTTCATATCTGGCTGAGTTAGCTTAATTTGTTAAAATTGCCCTAGACTAGGATATTTCGCTGGAAAAAGCTTATTAAAACATTGTAGCTGTATTTTTTAATGTATTTTTTAATGTGTGGGCATCTGTTAAAATTTGGTTTTGTCTACGATGTAATTCTGAGAATAAAGTGATTATGTGGAAAAGGTTAAAGTTTCATTGTGTTTTCTAAAGTTGCATAAATTAATACCACTATAAGACGAACAACAGGGATTTAGATCCGAAGACACATCACAGAAAAGGCTATTGAATATAATAAACAGTCACATTTATGCTTTGTAAAGCAGGAAGAATGTAGGAATGTTTTGGCAAGAAGAAACAGAATTGAAATGAAAAGAATTTGCAGAATAAAGAAAAGAGAACAGCTAGAAAAGCAATTAAAAAGCAATTAAGAAAAAAGCCTATATAAACAAAGAGGTAAAGAATTTCTACCAAGAAGTTATTAAATCCAGAGAAACTACAAAGGAGAAACTAACTAATACAGACCAACAAGAGGATCTTGAGAGAAATGAGAACTGGCAAGAAGAAGAAGAAGGGACGTGCGAGAAACCAACTTTGTGCAATATGTCCAGCCCATCTAAGTCTCTGCACTTTAACGTTTTCTCTTAAAAACACCAAGAAGTCTTTTATCATTTTGAGATAATGTCCACGTTTCAGCCCCATATATCAAAACCGGTCTTATTAAAGTCTTGTATATATTAAGCATTCCTGCACGTTTTATATTTTTATTTTTTAAATGTAAGCCTTAAAAAACGGCGAAGCTGCATATTAATTGGCATCAGGAGAGAGATTTTTCTCTCTGCTGATGCCAACCAATATGTAGCTTCGCCGTTTTTTTTAATTGTAAACTGTTTGTCCTTGTGTCGTGTCAGATTTTCGTACAATTTTATGTTTATGACATTCTCAATAGATTGCTGGATAGGCCAATATTGACGAAATGCCCCTGAAGATACTCTAGGAAGAGAAAGTACTTGGGCAAGATTTAATTAATAAACTGTTCCTGATATATGCCTTTCATTATTTGATTAAAGTTCATTTCTTCGAACATTCAACCTTATATCAAATCATAATATTAAAATTCTGATGGACGTAGAGTTTTCTCCTTCAATTCTAATGCATTAGCTTACGTTTTGCATTGTTAGGTGGGTCAACTTAAATAACTTAGATGGGATCCCAAAGACTATCAGTGCATTATGCAGTTCTTTTCATACTGTCATAGACCGCTTTGAAGTCGACGAAGAGATGGTGTGTTATGTTACAGTCAAGTGACTTTTCTAGAATCTGCTTGAATCAGATGTGTAGTTGACTTTCCAGCTGTAAATCCGCATTTATATTGATATTAACCCATTCACTGCGTATGACGCCATTTGGCGGCGCTATGATCTGATGCCTAGTGCGCACGCCGCCATTTGGCGTCAGAATTCCGTTCGAATTTACTTAGCCAGTAATCAAAACGCAGTAGGTGTGAGTGGACGTGCAGGTACACGCAGCGAATGGGTTAATATTGATATTGACCAACAAAATCCTTTGTAAAATGTTTAAGCCTTTCAAACAATAGATTGCTGAAGATTTTATACGCAGATGCTAACAGAGTAATACCTCTATAGTTCTTAAGCTCCAGTTGATCACCCTTTTTATACAACGGACATATTATTTCCTTTAGCCACTGTTCTAGTACCAATTCATTCTGCCATATAAGTACCATTAGTTTATGGATTGCTGCAAAACTTGATCACCACCTTTTTTTATACATTTCCGAACTGATTTCATCGATTCCTGGGACTTTATTGTCTTTGAGTTTTAGTATTTTATTTGACACTTGTTCTCTTGTTGGGTGTTCACTGTGTAGTTGACGCTGTAGATTTTATTGATTTTTTATGTTGTAACCTCCTTCAATATCGTTTTGTATTAAAATGTTCGCTGGAATGTTGTGCCCATCTGTTAAGAACTGAGTTTTTATCATGTAGAATTTCACCGCTAGTGTCTTTACAAATCTTTTCCTTTCTTTTAAGACGTCTATATTCTTCTTTTTTTCTCCGTGTAGAACCTGTGTTTTTTTATATGCTGCGTTCTTTCTATTTGTGGCCATTTCGCACTTATGATCAAATCAATGATTTCTTTTTTCTGACTTGGTTTTGCCCAATATTTCAACCGATCTCTGTAATACAATATCTCGTATATTTGCCCATAGTTAGTTAATGTCTTCTTCTTCTTCAAAGTTGTTTGTCCTTATTTGATCTTCTATTTGCTGTCTGTATACATTTGCAATGTCGGGATCTTTTAGTTTATTAATATCGATTTTTTCTCTCCTTCTCCCGATCTCCTTTTTTAAATTGGATATTCTATCTTTAAATCGTGCTTTAACTAAATAGTGATCACTATCTATATTTGCTCATCTAAAAGACCTAACATCTATTAAGTTAGAACAGTGTCTTGCATCGGTGATTACATGATCTATTTGGTTAATTGTTTCATTATCAGAAGACTTCCAAGTTCCCTTATGTATATTTTTATGGGGAAATCATGTCCCAGCTATTACCATGTTCTTGGATATCGCGAAGTTTATAATTCTGAGACCGTTATCATTAGAGTCTACGTGTAGCTTTTTTTTCCGATGGTGAGCGAAAATATATTCTCCCTTCCGACTTTGGCATTAAAGTCTCCTGTTATTATTTTGATGTAATTTTTTGGGCACTCACCGTACTCTCGGTGTAGTACCTCATAGAATATACCTTTTTCATCATCCTCTTTTTCTTCCGTTGGAGCATGGATGCTAATAATGCTAATATTAGCGAACTTCCTTTAAGTCTTATTCGACATATCCTATGATCATTAGCTTTGAAATCGATTACACTATATTTGACCTTGCTACTTACAATAAATATGGTACCAAATTGGAGTCAGGTAGGATGTCCACTGTAGTAAATATTGCAGTTATTTTTTTGCATAATGCCTAAGCTAATCCACCTCATTTCCTATAAAGCAATGATATCTGCTTTCGCTTTATTCATCCAGGCTGATAAAGGCTTCTTACGTTTCACGTGCAAATTTTTAAATCATTATCTTTATTTCGTTTGCGAGTTCGTAGTAGGTTAGACAGTCCGGTTTCTTTCTTTGTAGCTGTCATAAAAAAAGTTTTTTTACAGGGTTGGGTAGTTGGGTTGGGTAGGGGTAGTTAACCCCTAACGCCAAAACCCCTTTTCGGAGGACCATTTCACCGGCTCTGCGGTGAAGCGTGAAGGTGAGAGTCGGATTTGAGTAGAAGAGGCTAATTGGAGTAAACTGAAATCAACTCCATTTCAACAAATATTAAGTACACCCCTGTATATTTTCGTGGAAGGGCCAATTTAAGAGGATAATGCACCTTCTTTTATAATACCTGTTCACAGATCTCTATAGGTGTTATTAGTATCAATATAGATCATCAGAAGTATTTGACCACCCACTTTAATCTTTAAAAAAGCAATTATGTCTTGTTGTTTGACAAAAAATAATAATTCAAGAATATTAGGGTATCTGTATAAATTTAATGAAGAAAAGTTGACTATAGTTTAAATAAAATTTTTAGAGCATTTTTAAATTGTACAGAAATAAATAAATCATAATTTTTATCATATTTTTTTGTTTCTACTAAAATTATATAAATATATAGTAAATTTTGTAAAAATGTAGTTTTGAAGTATGCAATACTTCATACACCGTAGTGTATAAAGTGTTGCATATGCCCTACAAGAAGTTGTAGAATGACTGACTGCAGTTCCAAATAGCCATTACCTCATCTACGTGCATCGAGCAAAAAGATAAAAGAGGGAATCTAATCGTTATGAAAAGGAGACCAAAAAAGTGGCCTCTGATGGCGGACATATCCGGAAATGCAAAGGCGCTAAATTTAAATTTTCCAACACTTATTAACAATAGCTATAAAATATTTTTCAGACGAGAAAGTTTTAATTAAATATTAACTATAATAGTCTAAAAAGTGACACAATTGGTAAAAGATTTCAATATAAATAAAATTTCATGTGACAGTTGGGACAAACATGGGACAAACAATAACATAACCTAACTAAATTTAACTTCTTAAACAAGGAAAGAGACTGTCTATCCTTGTCTAAAGTGGCCTCTCAAGATGGCACTTCCTGTCTATCAATATGTTTACCCCCACTACCTTTACATTCCCTCTTTTGTCTTATTGCTCGATGTCTACGTGTTTAACCCCTCCACTACTACGACCTCGCATATATCATTCAATTTTAAATTGAAACAAGAAATATTTCTAGACCACAGATTTCAACATTTTAATTTAACAATTAGCAGCTTGGTGTTAAAAAGTATTTGTGTAGTTTTAACCTTTATATCGATTTTAAATGGAGAATCCCGTTGTCAATCCGGTAAGTAGGCCATAATTCATTCACAAGTAGGTTAGCTGCAGTAGAAACAATTTGCAAATAATTAATTTATTTTAGGCGATCCCTTTTAAAGGAAAAATTCCTGGAGGCCTAGTGCCTGGACGAATGTGTAGGATTCAAGGGGTGAGCCATCCAGATTCTGACAGGTTAGAATTTTTTAAAATACTTAGATATTTCGTTTTATTTTTAGCTATTTATTTTTCTTTTGATGATGGCAGTGCTTAAAATAGTAGTGTTTTGTATACGCAGATATTTATTAATTAACGTATAGCGTAACCTTCAACTGCAACTATTTACCTTGAATAACGTTTTCTTTACAATTTATATGTATATACTTACACACAGGATTATTTGAAAAAGTGGACTATTTTAAAGGTTTTCTATACCGGTTCAGTTTTTCATTATAAAACCATAGGTTATAAACTGTCTGTCAAATGTTAGTGATATACCAAAAAATAGTTTTTAAACAAAATTGAAAGTATAAGTATATAATAAGTAACACTGCGATTCAATTTAAAAATTAGATAATGTACTTATTTTTTAAATAAGTGTTTTCTACTATTTTTAATAACTGCTTAACAACGTCTAGTCTTAATTAATAATAGCTCTATGGGCCATGGATGAAAAAATGCGCATTGATATTGAGGCCATCCCATGAAAAAGTGCCCATATGCCAAATGGCGCTTTTGAGAAAAACGCAATTGAAAATTTAACAAGTATTTTGAAAACAAAAATTAAAACTTTGAACTTTATTGAAAGCTAAAATAAAAGTATTGTATTTAAACTAAAGTTACAATAAGATGTTTCAAGATATAGAGACAAATTTTTATGTAAATATAATTTTTTTAAATTAGCTTGTCATCGGCCCTTTTTCCACAGATCATTTGCGAAAGTATGAAATGAGTTTAAATTGCCATTTGCCAAATCTTTATTTGAAAAATGCGTTATTTTGTTTTGTTTGTTTGTTATTTGGTAGACGATAACTTAAATAAAGAAGGTTTCTGTGATTTGTAACATCTGGGCCAAAAAGCTAAAAAAAACACTGTTTAGATAGACGTAAACATAATTAAGGTTAATTTTGATTACGAACCTTAACAACTATATATTGGGACAAACTAAACTAAGCTAAATATCCATAATTCAAATAGTTAACAGTAAATTTTTCTGTCTAAATAATTATTATTACTCCAATAGAACTAATTAATAATAAAAAATGTTATTTTGTTATCAAGTAAATATTGGGACATATAACGAATATTTATTTTTAAAATGGATGCAAATGGTAAATGGAAGGGGGTATTTATCTTTCTCGTATTTTGTCGATTTTTATCGATTAATAGAAATTAATAAAAAAACAAAGAAATTATTAGTTTATAAAATTTTAGAATTTATTAAAATCGCGTTAAGTTGGGTGCCATTTTCACAATCGAATGATTACTTTCTACGTTTCTACGTCGTACGTCCTTTAAGATGAATCATTTTGAATTTTAGTTCTAAAATAGAATTTGCGTAACATCAATCATAATCATTAATTATTAATTAGAATAATTACTGAAATCACTGAAATAGACGAACAATTGTTTGAAATATAAATAAATATAGCTTATTTTTCTTGATTATTTTTTGTTGCATCCTAGCAATATATGTTTCTTGTACTACTAATTAGTAAAATAAATTAAATATTTGATTTATATTCCCCAATATTTAATTTAATTCCAGATTTAATATAAACTTCCAAGTCGGTCCTAAACCTAGCGATGATACAGCTCTCCATATTTCTGTTCGACACAAACAAGGATACATAGCTAGAAATTCCTACATAAATGAAGAATGGGGCGAAGAATCAGGAGATGGCGAATTAACAATTGGACAAGGAGAATCTTGGGAAATAATTATTTTGGTGGATCAAAATGAATACAAGGTAAGAATACTTTCTTTTTTACAATTTTATTATGCAATCTAAGAAGAGACAAGTAGATGTCGTCGTGGCATTTTATTTCTTTTGAAATTCTGAATCATCATCTTCATCATCATCATCATCATCAAAGAATAATTTTGAATCATCTAAAATTTAGACTGCCTGCATTAATGGGAGAGCAAATTTACCTTTTATAATTTGCAACAATGCCGACCAATTATTCTTAACTGTAATTACCTTTAGATCCTTGTGATACAAAATTTTTTGGGTTCTTCCATCAATTCTGTCTTCGAATTATTCCAAGCATTAGGAAGTGGACATTCGCTTCATCTTTGAATGATATAAACGCACACTAAAGGTCGATTCAGACACATCAGTCCCGTCACCTTCTCGGCGCTGAACCGGTCCTATTTGGTCACAGAACTATTAATTATTTGACAGCTGGGAAACTGTCGCCTGATGAATGTCAATGCTGGCGTCATATTTCTATTAAAGAATATTTTGTATGACAGATTGTTCGGTTCGGCGCCAGGACTGTGACGAGACGTGACTGATGTGTCTGAATCGACCTTAAGACAGACATAAGCACATAGGGCCAGATTCCAAAAGATTGCTACCAAAAACACCACGTGCGAACTTCTGCAAGGACCGCCGACTAATAAGCCTAATGAGTCACTTTTTAAAACTTTTCCTGAGAATACTTCACACTAGATTGTTTAAGAAATGTGAAGAGGTCAGTGGATGGAGTCAGTTTGGTTTCAAAAATGGACTTGGCACGAGAGAAGCAATCTTTAGTATGCAAACATTAATACAGAATTGTTTAGATCAAAAACAGGATGTTTTTGTCTGTTTCATCGATTACGAGAAAGCATTCGATAATGTAAAACACGAATTGATGATAAAATACCTACAAGAGTTGGGATTGGATGCCAAGGATATAAGAATTATCGCCAATCTGTATTGGAACCAGACAGCAACAGTACGTCTTCAAAATTTCAACGAAACAATTTCTCCATTAAAAAAGGAGTAAGGCAAGGTTGTATACTGTCTCCAATGCTGTTCAATTTATACGTAGAAAAGCCTTCGCAGAAGCAGTGGCAGACTCTAATAAGGGTATTAAAGTTAACGGCATATTTATTAATAACATCAGGTATGCCGATGATACAGCCATAGTGGCAGATAACATCGAAGATCTTCAAAGCCTTTTAAATGATCTAACTCTTGCAAATGAAGCTCGGGGTTTGAAAATAAATATCAAGAAGACAAAAACAATGATTATAAGTAGAAATGATTACCCCAACGCAAAGATATATGTCTCTGGAGAAGAAATCGAACAGGTCAGGTAATTCAAATACTTGGGTTGTTTGCTGAACGAGTGTTGGGACCCCGAGAATGAAATAAAGAGCAGAGTTGAACAAGCCAGAAATGCTTTTTTGAGGCTTCGTAAGTTTCTGACTGATCGCTAATTGGACTTCAACCTCCGATACAAGGTGCTTAAGTGTTACGTGTGGCCTGTTCTCCTGTACGGAATGGAAGCATGGACGTTAAAGGCCAGTTCCATTAACAAACTTGAAGTGTTTGAAATGTGGTGCCTGCGTCGAATGCTCAGAATATCATGGACGGACAGGGTCAGAAATGAGGAAGTACTCAGAAGATCGGGCTTACAGGATAGGGAACTTTTTAGTTATGTAAAAAGTAAGAAGACTGCATACTTCAGGCACATATTACGAGGAGAAAGATACACTTTTCAGCAACTGATACTCGAAGGGAAGATAGAGGGTAGGAGAGATCTGGGACGTAAAAAAATGTCATGGCTGCGCAATATTCGACAATGGACAGTAATCCACAGCTATGAAATGCTTCGCAATGCTGCTAAAAACATAATTATTTAATCCTGAATATTTAACATCTCAAATGACAAGACGATGTACGGTGGACGCTTACGCAGAAATGCACGGCACCTTAAGAAGAAGAAAGTAAATAATATAAGTTTGTAGGTGATTTATAATCTCAACAAAATGAAAATTTATATAAAAATACTTAAATTGACCCGACTTTTGAATAGAGACTTCCACGCATCACTTACATAAATGCGCGCTACGGTCTTGGTTAATATACATTTGAAGGGTCCAGGGGAAAAACAGCATTAGTCCATTTTTTCAACAAACTGAGGTCACACAGGTTAATCTGTAGGGGAACAAGTATCAAGCAGGGAAATGAAGAAACGTAAAAGAACTGGCAGGAGGGCGAGATGTAATCAAAATTTTACGTGCCACAACGCATGAATTGGGACCCGACTGTTTTTGTAAACGTTTTAAATGTTTTACTGTGGTTCCTGAACCTGAACGGTATAGAATAATTCATGAATTTAATAAATAGGTAACACTGATACACAAAACTCTTACATTAGTAGAAAAAACGCTGAAGAATCTAGACTTAATAGTGCTTCCTTTAGTGATCGTGTTCGAATAGTTGGAATTACTCGTGATGTTTCAGTATGTATCAAAGTTTTTTTCTCTTTCCATGGAATCACGGGACGTCGAGTTAGATACGTTAGAGACTCCCTGCTTTTTAATGGGAAAGCACCTATCGATATGCGAGGAAAACATAATTCGCGACCTCACAAACTTTCTGAAGTCACAAAGCAAAAGGTGATGGAGTTCATTAAAAGTCTAAAAGGACGCAAATCTCATTATTCTTTAGCAGACTCGAATAAAATTTACTTACCTGAAAACTTAAACACAGTGAAATTACACAAAATGTATTCCGAAACAAACGTTGACAATAAAATATCCTACGAATCTTTCCGTAACATTTTTGAGTCAAATTTTAATATATCGTTCGGATATCCACGAAAAGACACTTGTAGCACAGCACGTGTGACTCCTTAAATGCCGACATATCATCGATAACTAGGTACATTATTAAATTCTACTTCGGACCGTGAAACTAGGAAAACAGCAAGTAATGATATAGAAAAAAAGACACGCGAAAGGAATCTACATCTAAAAAAAAGTGAGCGATTTTATAGTCTAAAAAGCAGTTACCGCAAACGTGCTTCAAAGTCCTCGACTATGGAAGGTATAAGCATGGATTATCAAAAAAACTTACCATGTCCAAATATTACAACCAACATCAGTTTCAACATTCATATTCTGTCGGATTCAAAATCTGTATTTTATACCTACGATGAATCTGTTGCTTAGAAAGGAGCTGACGATGTTTGTTCCATGCTGAATCACTTTTTTTATAATATTCTGCCCATGGAAGTAAAAGAACTAGCTATTTTTTGTGATTCCTGTGCAGGACAAAATAAAAATTTTACTATCATTCGATTCTTGCATTACTTAGTTACAAGAAAAAATCGTTTTGATATTGTGAAAGTAATATTCCCTATTAGAGGGCATTCATATCTTGAATGCGATCGAAACATGAGCCTTGTCAATCAGAAAGCATACATTGAGGTACCAGAGGACTGGAGAGACGAATTGCGAAATTGCCGTTTGAAACCTACACCATTTGAAGTGATTGATTGCAGTAAACATTTTGATTTTCGAAATTGGACTTCATTTTTATCGCCGCTATATCCAACGAAGTGCCCTTTCCCAACTCGGCCAATTAGAATGCTTAAATTTTGCAGCAAGGATAACCGGTTAATTTTCCATAAATCTACGTATATGGGTTTATATTATAATTCTAAATTCGAAAATAAACCGATTAAGGCGTGCCGCAAAAGGACACAAAATAATCACAATAAAAAAGAAGTAGGAACATTACGAAAACTTTATCAAGGCGCAATTCCTATTAAAAAATCCAAATGGAAAGATCTGCAAGATCTAACTGCATTCCTCGAGAAACCAGAATCCAGGTTGTTTTATCAACAATTAACAGTAGTTGTTGTCGAACAATCTGGAGAAAGCGATGACGAATTTGTTATTATTTTTCTTTATATTTGACTTTATAATAAGTCTATAAATCTTAATTTTCAATTTTCTCGAAATAAATCCAAATGGACTATTGCCGTTCTTCCCCTGGACCCTTCATTTGCTTTTAGTGAAGAATATATTGTTATAGCACTCCCAGTATTAATATAGTCATAAACCCTGCGTAAGCATTTAAAACTCCGTCTAAATTTTAATACTGTATAAAAGATTCTTAACTGTAAACGAATTTACGTGTAGGTGATAAATGGTTAATTGTAAATAGCTATCATACACAAAATATTCATTTTTCTTAACAAATATTTCGTAATTATTTAATGAAATTTTACATCAAGGTTAAAGGTTTAAATAAGAATATTGCTAAGCGGGTGTTGCGGGTGTCCCCAATTTAAACTAATTTGTTAAATTATTTCACTCCTACTTGGCCACTGATTTTTATCTGTACAATCTTAGTAACGAAAAAATGGAGTAATATTTTTAGTAAAATTCTTCATTTATAAAACATTCTCATAAATTTACACTCATATTCCAATAAAACAGTGCTTAAGGTCTTAGAGATATATTATTTTTTCAAAAAATCTAGTTTAGATTATTATTGTGATCCTATAATTTACACTCATATTCCAATAAAACAGTGCTTAAGGTCTTAGAGATATATTATTTTTTTCAAAAAATCTAGTTTAGATTATTGTGTAGCTAAAATTATTATATTTCACATTTAAACTATTCAAATTTAATTACAGATAGCAGTGAATGGTCAACATTTCAGCGAATTCAAGCACAGAGTACCGTTCTCCACAGTGACTGATCTGCAAATCGATGGAGACGTCAGCATTACTCTTATATCCTGGGAAGGAATTATGGGTCTAGGTGCTGGCGAAGACATTAAAAAAGTCAGCCAAACAGATACTCATTCTCAATGGGCTCCCCAAGGAAACTACGCACCTCCCCAAGGCGGATATGGCCCACCCCAAGGGGGATATGGTCCTCCGCAAGGGTACGCACCATCTGGTCCTGGATACGGACCTCCTCAAGGATATGGACCACCACCGCCACCAGGGGTAAGTTAATAATAAATAACATTTTTATAACACTTTATAACATTTATGTATTGATTTAAATACAAGTTATATGATATTATTCCGAATAAAAATTAAGAAATGATTTATGATACTATGTTCGTACATTCTAAACCGATTTTACTACTTTTATTATAGCACTTTTCGATGTTTTTGTGTTTTAGATGTGTGCTAAACAATGTAGAGCCTTGTGTCATACTCATTATAGTACGTAGTGATTTGTTTGGAGTAGGTAAAATATGGAAGTAATGAATTGTTTTCCCTTTTACGCCACAAATCTTTTCTATTAGTTCGTTCATGAACTTCTATCAATTGTATGACCTTTATGATTTTACGCATGTGTTTAATCTACAAGAAATCACCGAGGAAAAATTCAATTCACACATCCTGACGATGGGAGACGAAAGATGGTCAAAGAGAATATTAGAAATTAACAGAGTAAATAAACGAAAGATATGACGACGAAGAAAAGGTTGGATAAATGAAATTATAAAAGCAGGTAAAGCCAGAAAGATGAGCTACAGAGAAATAAAAATGATGCCGAGAAATAAAAAGATTGGAAATAGAGAATAGACACCACACAACAAAAAAATCGACAAAAATATTAGTTTTATTCAAGTTAATAAATTCTAAAAATATCTCATATTTCCTTCGACAGGCTTTAAAAGGATAAAACTCCTATAATACAGCCAAAATTTGTGATTTTATTATTATAAGAGATTGCAAGACAATTTAGTTTTATATGTTTCTTTATTTTAATGCTTATTTCTGTATCACATTGAATAAAATATAAAAATAAAAAATATATTAGAAAGGAAACACACCGGAAATGTATTTGTTTATCTCTTCGGGAGTATTATATAATTTAATATGATTATATTTAATTATGAATGATTTAATTTATTTACAAAAAATTTAATCAATATTTTAAAGAATAAAAAAAAACAAAAAGTTTTTTTGTCAGGTGTGGGGTTCGAACCCACGCTCCCTCTCGGGAACCAGAGCTTAAATCTGGCGCCTTAGACCGCTCGGCCAACCTGACGGTGCTGTGCAGATTCTATATCTCGTATACAAACGGTGAATATTTTATACATTGCAATAAATTGTAATAAATATTTTCAAGTATAATGTTCATAACAAAGAAAATGTGAGTTAACAAAACAATGATTCTCTTGGATCCTATTGTCTGTAGAAGGTATTTTTTCTCATTGCGTTTTTTAACCACTTATCGAGATCATCTTCAGAAAAATAACGAAGTTATTGGAAATGTTTATTTTTAACAATAATTTTGAAATTTGAGAGTTTCCTCATCATATTATGTTCTGATTCTGGAGATCTTTCACTAGCTTGTTCTTCCTTTCCGATTTTGTAGAATCTGTTGTTGTGTATGTGCTGTTTGTTTATTTGCATCCATATCCGAATGTTTCGAGAGTATACATACTGTTGTTGCTTATGTAGTAGATAAAAGTAATCAAAATATGTAGGTTTAATTTTTATAACGCTTTGATTTATAGGCTCAACCTGAATCATCACTGGACAGTTTTCTGGATGGAGCCCAGACATTCTTATCGGGAGCTATAAAAAGCGGTGCTGCAGGAGCTCTCGTTGGAAAATTCCTAGGAGGTGGAGGAGATGCACAGAGGGGATATTCCCATAACAATGCTGTGAGTAAATGTATTTTAAATGTTAATATGTTTTATATATAACGTTATTAAAAAATCGATAATGAGGTTACGACCAATGTTCCAATAGTTCCAAAGCAAGTGCTCTGTTGCACTCAAGAACTAGCTTTAAGCTAACTTTGGGTGCTTCCAAAGCCCTTGACTGTCAGAGTGATGGTGCCGCCTGAGTACCTAAACCTATCAATTATCTCCTGAGCACATACCAGGATCTTTAAGATCTTGGCCTGAAAGATTGATGCAAGAAAGCTGAGAGCCTAGCCAGATTCAAATCCTCTCTCAGAACCAGAGAGAATGCGTTATATGTTACAACTTAAAAATATTTTATATGAAAGAAACTTTGTGTAATGAAACTTTGTTAGTTTATATTCCACATATTGTTACATACTATATTGTTACAGCGTATTAACAAGTTTTATAAAAGATTCTTTAAAACAATAATACCGAAAATATATTTGCTTTTTTATTACTAAAATTTAAACAAATAAATTAGAATTGCTGTAAGTAAAAAACTTAGTAGTTCTGAAAAGCATTATGCTATTTTGTATATTAGAAATATGGTTTTGTATATTTTGAAATATTTTAAAAGTTGATTCATAAGACAAAATTTCTATTTTGCAGCTCTTAATTTGTCAATGTTGTCATTATCATCCAGACTCAAGAGTCCACTGCTGAACATAGGCCTCTTCCTCATGCTCCCAACCCCGTCTATCTTGCGCCGCTCTTATCCAGTTTTTATTGAGTCTTCTTAAATTGTCAGTCCATCTTGTAGGTGGTCGACCGACGCTTCTCTTGCCTTCCCTTGGCCTCCATTCCAATAACGTCTTTGTCCATCGCCCATCTGTCATTCTGGCTATGTGTCCTGCCCATCTCCATTTTAGTCTGGCTATCTTCTCGATGATGTCAGCCACTCCGGTTCTTCTCCTGATGTGTTCGTTTGTTATTCTGTCTCGGAGAGTTATTCCTAACATGGACCGCACCATTCTTCTCTGCGTGACTCTCAGTTTGGTAGCTACTGCTTTTGTTAAGGTAAGTGTTTCTGCTCCGTACGTCAAGACTGGGAGGACGCACTGATCAAACCAGTATCAGTGATCAGTGCGTCAATGTTGTACACAGCTTGAATTCCTGTTTTATTTTCTCCTTAGCGTATTCCAGATATCCTAAATGCGATTCAAATTCTGATGCCGTTCTATATTTTAAATGAACTTATTCCAAAAGGGACAGTAAAATTAAATCGTTCACTTTGTTCGTCTGGATATTTCTTTATAGTCCGCAAGTTTCTATCTTATGTCATACCAATATCATTTCCTGTTAATGACATGGCCTAATTCTGTCTTATCAGCTCTTCCTTGTACTTTTTTTCCATTCTCCTACCAGGAACTTCGTTTGATTTCTTAGTTATTCTATGCTTTCTAACTGTTTTTATTCAAATTGTCTCTTTTTTCTTTGATGTTATCTTTTTTCTTCCCTTCTTATTGTCCGGTATTCCTCCTTTGCTCTTCTTATGTATTCTACTTGATAAGTGTCTTAAGGTATGCTCTATTTTTGTTATGAGTTGTTTCTTGGTACTTCCTGGTTTTCCCAATATTCTTGCATTCTTAATTCTTATAAATCTACATTTTTTCCACATTTTCTCCCGCCTCCAGGTTCTTCATTCTCTCGTCCATACTCAATACTCTCTCGCAGCAGTTTAAATGTGCAGATTATTAACATTAATTCTGTCTTGTTTCACATGTTTATCCTTCTTTAGGTTTGAAAGTTTTCCTCTGATTTTTGCCATTAAAAGAAAGTTGTCACTATCTATGTGTTTACCTCTATAACTTCTGACGTCCATGAAATTGGAAGAACGTCTTGCATCTCTCGGGATGTGATCTATCAGGTTAAAGATTTCCCAGGAAATTGCATTGTTCCTTTATGTATCAATTTTTCTCCTACTATCATGTTTTTGGTGCTTGCAAAGTTTATTAGTGCTAAACCGTTATAGTTTGACTCTTCATTTACGCTCTCACATCCTATAGTTGGCTGTAAAAATTGCTCTTTGCAATTTTTGTATAAGGTGTCTTTTTCAGTAGAGTAGAATTAATCTTTTTCATTATCTTCCTTTTCTTCCGTAGGTGTGTGTACACGAAATAAGTTATAGTTAAATAATTTTTCTTTAATACGTAGGTAACACATTTTGTCGTTTAAGGACAGATTGCTTTGCTTTTTTAGTGACTAGAAAACCACGGCCAAACTCATATGTCCGCTATGGCATGTATTGCAGTCTGTTCTCTCGATAATTCCTGAACCAGATTACATCAGCTTTCATTTTATCCAGTTCTAAAGGGTTCGTACGTTCCATGTGCAAATCCGTTAAGTGGTACTCCGTTTTTATTCCTTAAATTAAACAGTACGGATTTTCCTCTTGGTGCTTTCATAACAATAAGTTTTTTTGTCAATAAGATTTTGCCCAATCCTCCAGTCTTTGCAGGACCATTTCTCCCACTCTCGTTAGCCCTGATTCTGCTTCCCACTGTGGTTGGTTATCACAATCTTTCACACGGTTTCTCAGTTTACCGGAGCTCACCACGTGGAGGTGAGAGTCGGAATTGAGTAGGAGAGGCTAGAGCTAACAGGATAAAGCGTCACATTATATACATCACATCTTTTTTCACACATAGAATTTGATTCTGAAGCTATTTTCTTGTGGCATTGTAAATTAATTACTATTAAATTGGGAATAAGCCACAATTAAAGATAAAAATACGTTTATTGACGTTTCAATTTCCACTTCGGAAATCGTTCTCAAAATACAAACAGTAAATTAAACAAATTTTGTTTTTTGTTACGTAGTGAAAAATTCTTCTAATAATTTAATTTTATCTGACTCATTTATATTGACAATTCAGACATACATTATGCATTTTAAAGTAGACGACTTTAAAATGGTATTGCCAATATTGTTGAGTTGCGCTCCTGGGACGACTTTACTTATAAGATAGTTCATTCGATTACATGAAATCAACTTTAACTTGAGAATATCCGTCAGAAAAAAATCATAGCATGTAATTCGTCTTTAAAAAGACAAACACATGACATGATGACAGTAAAATTCTCCTGTTAGTGATTCCTTAGTAAATTATGAGGGAAAACCAGGAAAAAAACCTCATAATACTATCCCGACATTGTAAGTATTTGTTCGTGAATTTAGTTTACCCTCAACAAACATCAAAATTCTGATTTTATATGTTACGTTATTTAAAAAACATAAATGATGTATCCTCTATATGTTACTGACTTACTAATACTGGTATTTTCTTATTAATAACTTCCTCTTTCAATATTAGTAACCAGATCCTACTACATTCTGCCAAGAATTTGCGACACAATTGGCCTCATTTAGCATAATTAGAGCCGCTTCTTTGATTTTTCTTTTTTTACCATCCGTTTCTTTTAGGACTATATTTGAATTATTCCATTGAACCCTATGTTCATTATCCCATGCGTGTTTACAGATTTGAGATCTATCAAATTCTTTATTTTTAATATAAGATTGATGTTCACTTATTCTAACATTTAATGGCCTTGATGATTCACCCAAATAAAACTGATCGCATTCACAAGGTATTTTATAAATGCAATTCTTTGTCCTTTCTTGTTCATTGTTAGGTTTGGTTTTGGATAAAATAGATCTCAACGTGTTTGTTGTTTTGAATGTTGTTGAAATGTTGAATTTATTTCCTATCCTTTTAAGTTTTTCTGATAGTCCTTTTATGTACGGTATTGTTATTTTCCTCATATTATTCCTTGTGTATGCTGTAGGATCTCGTTCTAAGTTGTTCTGTTCTATTCGATCGATTGTTGAAAATTCCTTATTTATAAACGATAAAGGATAATCATTTTTTAATAAAACAGATGTTAACAAATGTTTCTCCTCCAAGAACGAATTTTCATTAGAACAAGTAATTTTGGCTCTATCGTATAAGGATTTAATTATTCCCTTTACAAATGGTCTCCCAGTTGTGGTGGTTTTTATGTTCTGTCATCATTGAACAAATTGGCTGTGTACATTTTCCAAGTATTAAGTATATCGCTAGGGTCCGTTATTAATTCATTTTGGTCATTATGTATACCAGTGACTTGTTTTTTCTTGAAGACACCAGCAATTTCCTTAATTTTCTTGTGAAGATTGAAACTGTCGCCGAGTTTATATAGGCTTTCAGCCTCGGCGCAAAGTGTAGTCATCCAGATCTCCTTCGCCGCTATAATTTCTTTTTACGAATTTGACTGTGTATATTTCGTACCCTACTTCGTCCTGCCTGATCTTACACTGCCTGCGTTGTTCCATCATCATTCCCAGTTTAATAGTAATTAATTCATAGAATTTGAATCATATAATAATATTATAATATAACGATATCATATTATATATAGTATCAATAGTTTTTTAATTTACTTAATATTTTTTTTTTGACACAATATTTTCCACTACATAAAATAGTACAACGCTTACATTTGAGATTTCTATCAGATCTACCGTTTTTATACTTAAGCAATCCTAAGACAATGCTATTATTTTTCTTTAATGAAACTAACTGCCTTGTTTGCTTTAGTGTCCAGAAAAGTGCATTCTATAAACGTTGCTTTATGGTTTGAAGGATTTTGTCTTATTTGAGTGGTATGGATGCATGCAAAAATGTTTTTTTTTTAAATTTCATTTCGTTCTTTTTTGTACAAACACTAAAATAATCTAGCTGCAATAAATTTAATTATCGGTGGCTTAATATTTCTAAATTAAATGTTTTGGCTTTTTATATTTTGTTTAGAACTCAAAATTCAGTTTCGGATACATCTGTTCTGTATAAGCTACTAATATCTAAAGTTGCTACTGTATATAATTGATAAAAATATTTTTGCTTTTTTGATCTGAATAATTATTTTTGGTTATAATAGTAAATGGTTTTCTCATTTTTAACACCTTTTATGAAACATGCAATATTATCAAAACGCTTTAAATTGATTAAAACAATTTATAATTCGTAATATAGAAAACTAATTAATAAAAAATGTTGGATCAGAAATAATGCCAAAAGTAACAATTTCAGAGGTAACTACAGCATTGGAAAACAAGAAGAGAAATAAAACTGCAGGAGAAGATAGTATTACCACAGATATGATATTAGAAGGAGGTAAGGAACTAATTGCAATTGTAACTAAGCTTGTGGACAGTTGTTTACATCAGGGCAAAGTCCCTAAGAGCTGGAACAACTCTAAAGTAATCTTATTACACAAGAAAGGTGATAGTCGAAAATTGGAAAACTACAGACCCATCAGCCTACTGTCACACCTGTTTAAAATACTCACCAAAGTCATAACTACTCGACTAACAAGGAAATTAGACGAATACCAACCATATGAACAGGCAGGTTTTAGAAAAGGCTATTCAACTTCCGATCACCTGTTAACCACAAAAATATTAATAGAAAAATATAACGAATACAAGTTTCCAGTTTTCCTAGCATTTGTAGACTACGAAAAAGCTTTCGATACCATAGAACACACGGCCGTAATAAACGCAATGCAAAATTGTAGAATAGACAGCAGATTAGACAACTTAATAAAAGAAACTATGAACCACGCTACAGCTACATGCTACCTAAATGAAAATGAACACACGAACCCTGTACCATTAAACAGGGAAGTCAAACAAGGAGATACTTTATCACCCAAACTGTTCACCTTAGTTTTGGAGGACGTTTTTAAAAACCTACATTGGAAATATAAGGGAATAATCATCAATGGCCGCTACCTCAGTAATCTACGATTTGCAGATGACATATTCCTGATAGCTACTGACCTACAAGAAATGCAAACCATGCTTTTAGAACTACATACCGAATCTTCTAAAATAGGACTGAAAATGAATTTAAACAAAACAAAAGTCATGCACTCCGAAGACACCGTGACAATAATAAACGATAAAGTTATAGAAAAAGTTGAAGAATATATATACTTAGGACAAAAAATAATACTAAATAGGGAAATTCAAACTGAAAAAATAAAAAGAAGAAGAAAGTTAGTTTCAGCAGCATTCGGTAAACTGAACTATATACTCAGAAATCAACAAATTCAATTACATCTTAGATCTAAAGTTTTTGATGCATGCATTATTCCGATATTAACTTATGCGGCACAAACATGGACAATCACAAAAAAGAATATGAATATACTTAGACACTTAGAGTCACTCAACACGCGATGGAAAGAGCAATGCTAGGTATATCACTTAAGGACAAGAAAACAAACACATGGATAAGACAGAAAACCAAAGTCACCGATGTGGTGCAAAAATCATTAAAGTTAAAATGGGAATACGTTGGACATGTAGCTAGGAGCGCTCTAAACAAATGGCACAGATCAATTTTAACCTGGAGACCATACCAACACAAAAAACCCAGAGGCAGACCTCCTATGAGATGGACAGATGATCTGAAAAGGACTGCGGGGAAAATTGGCTACAAGTAGCGTACAATAAAAAACAATGGAAAGGAAGACTTGAAGAGGCTTATGTTCAGATGTGGACGTGAATGGCTAGACGAAGAAGAAGAAGAAGAATAATGAAAACTCCCGAAACACTACTTTAGGAAGCAGGAATTAACAACCAAAATCTGAAAATAATTAGAAATCTTTATTGGAATCAGATAGCAAATCTCAGAGTTGAAGTGAATAACCGAGAGGTACTGACCACCATCGAATCTCGAAAGTTACAATTCTTCGGACATATTATGCGAAATCAATCCAGGTTAGCTCTCTTTCAAGCCATCTTGGAGCAACATCTTGGTTAAAATGATCTCCAACCTTCGTAACGGATAAGCACATCGAGAAGAAGAAGAATGCTCATCTAAATGTATGAATACGTAGAATCATAATGGAACCCAAGAGAATCAATCAAAACGAAATAAGATCATTAATGAATTTTGAAATAGATAATATACGGAAGGGAGTAAATACTGTAAGAAAAATAAAAGCACAGAGGATTAGGTGGTACGAACGTATATTCAGAAAAGCAAAAAACGCAGCTCAAAGAAGATTAACGAAGTGGTTATCAGAAGGAGAAAGACCAAAGTTAAAAAAGATTTAAGAACACTGGAAATAAATAAGTGGACACAGACTCTACTGGGTAGAGCAGCTTGGAGGCGAGTATTTAACAACGCCAGAAATGGGCCGGACCTGCAAATAGATGTACCGAATGGAAAAACCAGTGGACTGTACCACCACGGCAAACACATCTAAAAAGTTCGTCAGAGCAATTTCAATTTTTGTAGAAATGTCTGGCTTGTAAATAATTAAAAATAAAATGTCTTAAATGTATTAGGTATTGTAATTTGTTTATAAAAATTCCAAATTTTGAAAAGATATGATAATCTAAATTATTTTAATGTTGTAAATTTGTCCCCATGGCTTATCTGTTAAAACTGAGAAAATATAACTAAATATATATAATTCAAAATTGTATACAAAGTTGCCACTTCGGGGTGAAGGATACATTGTGAAGGGTGTAATTACTAACTCTTTGTTTTATTCGAGTTTTGTATATATTTCATTGCGGTTTTTAGAGCAATCTTGGGCAGATAATATTATTAATAATTGACTAATACCTTACACCTTAGTAAAAGAAAAAAAAGTCATTTTTCAGAATCAGTTGCACTTTAAAAACTAATTTAATGTACTAAAATTCACCGAGGGCATTCCATCACACTCATTAGTTGCACTGGATCTAAAAACAGGCACTTAGTTACTAAAACTAAACGTCTAGTGCAATTTTACATCAGTTTTTAATATTCCCAGAAATATGGCATATATCCTGATCTTCCTCAAGACATGAACCTAAATGTCAACCAGCCTCCACCACAGTCTCAAGGTCCAGTCCAACAATTACTTGCAGGACTTCTTTCTGGCGGTACTCAACAGCCCGGTAGTGGACCTCCAGGATCCCACCAAGCTCCAGGAGCTCAACAAGGCCAAGTTGATTACTCCGCTTTATTAACGAATTTATTAAGTGGTCACCAAGAGTCAAAGGTATCACAGACACAGAGTGTCCCGGGTGCTCAGCAGAGTGGACCGGATTTCGGTTCATTTTTATCAGGATTGCTCTCTAGTAATAATGCGCCACCACCTGGAAGACAAGCACCGCAAGGACCTCAATCTCAAGGAGGATCAGATTTTGGTACATTATTATCAGGTCTTCTGTCTAACCCTAATCAACAAGCAGGAGGTCAACATCCTGGAGGTCAGGGACAGCCTGGTTCCCAAAACCATGGAGTTGATCTTAGTGGCTTACTTTCAAGTCTCCCTAATCTTCTTTCTGGTACCGCCACTAGACCTATTCAAGAAACTGGTAAACCCTCTCCTTCACCTCAACCTACAGCTGGATCTCAGCAACCAGATTTTGGGTCTATGTTATCACACTTATTATCTGGAGGTTCACAACATCCACAAGGCAATCCTAGCCAACATGGTCCCGGACCTGCAGGATACCAAAGCTCTGGCCCCCAACAGTCGCAAGGAATAGATCTTGGTTCATTATTATCAAGTTTATTATCACCACCTTCTGTTCATCCTACCTACGGTGGTTCTCAACCCCCTCAAACTGGTCCTCAACTTCCTTATGGTAATAACCAACCTCCCCAAGGTGGAACTCAGCCCCCTTATGCTAATAACCAACCTCCTCAAAGTGGAAATCAACCCCCCTATAGCGGTAATCAACCTTCCAATGTCGGAGGTAACCAGTACACTGGTTCAACACAAGCAAATAATGAAGGGCCACCTCCTCAAAGTGCTGGAGGTGCTCCCTATAGTGGACTCCAAAGGTCAACATCGGCCAACAAAGGTGCTGGGCATAACCATGAGGATGTAAGTGATCAATTAGAAAGAGAAATGGCCCGTGAAGGAGTTCATAGACAGTATAGTGGTCAGGAAAATAGGCAAAGTGGTAATGAGGTAAGTGTTTGCAGTACACTGGTTCTGATTTAGATAGTGAACAATGTATTTAATTATTTAATATCGCAAAGGTGATGGTCTGTGTAAATAACAATACATTATTATTATTATTTAAGTTATTATTACACTAAAACATTATTATTTTTTAATTATGTAATCTTCTAATTAAAGAGAAGAGGATTAATTATTATAATTGTTATTAGCCTTCTTCATTTCAGTAATTCTTCTGAAACTGTCTTCATTTTTTGTAGTAGTAATTTTCGTGGCTCTATGTTTAATTAATTTTGTATTCCAATCGACTTTTAACGTATTGACATGTGCACAATTTTTATTTTCTAATTATATCATGAAAGTTTATCTGCCTTCTCTAAACCAAAATTATCCCAAATCTAGCACTCACCTTTTTACTTTTGTTTCTTTACGATTCTTAATTATTTTGGTATTCCTTGGATAAAAAGTGGTGGTGGTGCCAAGAGCGATCTAAGAAGTCCACGTCAATTGACTGTCTATCACTAAATACGCCTTCAAATAAGTGACACATCATCGAGAAAGATTATGTATCAAGATATTCGATATCATCCTTACAAAATGCAAGTTGTTCAAGCTCTTAACACGGATCATTTTCAACAACGAATTAGCTAATAATTTACTCAAAATTTTGAGATACTGGGCAGAAAAAAACCCTCGTTTGCTTCATGCTCAGAAAGTGACATAATGGTGTGCGATTTTGGTAAATGGAATTATCGGTACCATATTTTTTTTGAGGATGTTAGTTCCGTTAGTTCTGAGCATTACGTTGAGTGATTCAGTACTTCCTCCACCACAACTTGACCGCTTTCCAGTCAATGAAAACACACTTTTTACTCTTAACACTTTAACATTTTTACAATACTCTTAATGCCATTGTTTCTCGAAATGGGAATATTAGTTGATCTTCATAGTTTCACGAACTATCTTTTTGTAAAGTCAAAATTGTTTAAAAGTTATCCACTCAGGACAATCCCAGCCTTCAAACAAGGGGACAATCCCACCTCTGATTCGTCAGGAGATTGTAGCAATACCAGTCGAGATGCTGCAAAAAGTTATGCAAAATGTCAGGCTCGACTCAATCACAATGCATAAATAACAACGCAAAAGGTGTTTAGTTCACCATGCCAGAGCTGTAAGACAATGGTTTTGGTGGTTTTCTAAAAGGATGGATATGGTGCGTTAATCTGTTGCTTAATTGGTCACTCAGTGGTTTTTCTCTAGGAACTTATACAAATGGTTTTTTAAAAAGCATCTGTCAAGGTATTCTTAAGCTGATGGCACCGAGGGACATTTGGTTACATTGTACCATCCGTCAGTTTTGGGCTTCCGATAAAATTTGTTTTCGCATACTTGGCTAGCCTTCGAATGCTTCGTTTCGAGCATCAGCTCCACTCAAATTCAATTCGATGACATTTCCAGGCGGAGAGTTTGATTGAAGTATATCTGTCAAAGAATAACGCCTATATCCTAAGGCCAGCTCATCCAGGACAGGAGAATCACGCGAGCAAAAGGGCAAAAGCTGGCTTGATCCTAATATTCATTGTGTATAGGAACTGCAAAAACAGGATGTATCGATCCTTTTAACTTGAAGCGTTTTCAGCAAGAGGTATCAGAAAAGTTACCACAGAGACGGACTTGTGGCAGCAAAGCGTTCATAGCGATGTTGCTTTTTGATGTCGGCTCTTCCTATCATAAACAGGGAACTTGATCTGAGTTCAGACCGTCACGAGGCATCCTGAGATAGGTTAGTTTAACTCTACTGAGAGCTCGTTGTGATGTTAATCCTGCTTAGTATCAGAGGAACCTCAGGTTCGGACAACATGTGCAGAAATTACCCTCTAACAACTAAGGAATGTACCTGGAAACATTTGTAAGTGCTGTGATAAGTGTATCGAAAGTTTTGCATTTAAATTTTCCTTAAGATTTTATATTTTGTACCTATAATTTTCGCAAACGTCGTCTCACAGAAAAAGCATACTTCTTAATTTATCCCACACTAAGTCTTACACCCATACACAAAATAAAATAAATAATTTCTTGTTATTTTTAAAAAAATCGCTAATAAAAATTTCCCAATTTAGACTAAAAAATATTTTTATCAGATTAGTAATATAATAGGTAGTACCTACATTAATAGTTTTTTTTTACATTTTATAAAAAAAATAACATTACTTAAATTATTGTATACTGTAATTTTATTTCAGCAATACGGATACTATCCTCATCCGCCAGAACAACAGAGAGGACCACTAGAAAGTTTACTTTCTGGATTTTTATCTGGTGGACAGCAGCCTGCTCAACAAGTGAGTATTTTAAAATGGAATAGAATTAAAAATTTTGTGTCATGGTTTTTAATATTATTTCTTGCACTTGTTTGGTTTGGAAGATTGTCGAACTATTTTTTACAAAATATAATGATAAAAAGGGTATCAAGGATAAAGAGAAGAATTTAAGGATTTAAATAGAGAGAAATCTACTGCTACGTGAAAATTAATTCTCAATTAGATGCGTATTCTTCTTCTCATGGCGCCGTCCTTTCGAAGGTTGGCGATCCAAATGGCAATTGTGGTTTTGGAGACTGCTGCGCTAAAGATTTCTGCGGATGAGCGGTCGAACCATCTCCTTAGGTCTTTCAGCCATGAGTTCTGGCATCTTCCTACTGATCTTTTGCCCTGTACTTTTCCATCCAGTATAACTTATTGGACACAATTATTGGTTCTTATTTTTTTTTTGAAGAAAATATTAGAGGGGTTAGTTATCTGTATTCAATATGTTTCGAAACGTCAACAATCCTAACTTACCAGATGACAGTAGGTATATGGTTACAACAAACTTGGTGCACCTCCGCGTTATGATGTTTGCAAGTTTTTAAATCAGTTATTTCCTGGGAGATGGATTGGTAGAAGACGAGAACCAATAGAGTGTCCCCCAAGATCTCCAGATCTTATATCTCTAGATTTTTTCTATGGGGTTATTTAAAATCAAAGGTTTATGTAAATAAACCGCTAAATCTACAGAAGTTGTAAGGCGGAATTAGAAACGAAGTTATAGAATTACTCCGCAAGTTATTCTTAATGTGCAAACAGAATCTGTTCGTCGATTTGCTTATTATCAAGACACGGGTAAATGACATTTTGAGCATTTAATTTAGCTGAAAAGTATTATTAATTATTTAATTTAATGTTGCATTTCGTTTGTTGTATAATGATTCTCTGATTAAATTAAATAACTTTTTATTTTTCCTGAATAAGAATTAGTCAGTTAACATTTTCGATGCGGAAGCTGCCATATGGCGTCTTTCTTATTTCTTAGTCTGTACAGATGGATTTGCGCATTGCATATCTAGTAGAAGTGTATACTTGCATATATACTAAAATGCTAAGCCCTTTTCTTGTCCACCACTTTACTCAAAAACCATATTAGATAATTAAAATATTTTTTCGGAATATTATTAGTATTACGTATGAGATTGTTAAGATATACTTTTGGTACAAAAATTCACTTCCGGTTTTGAGATGACCGGAAGTTAAAATTTACTTTAAGTTTTAGACCCCACAATGTAGGTATATATGGATCGAAATACCTATATATGGATCGAAAGGTCTCGTCGAGACGAATCTAAATATGTACTTCCGGTTGCGATCCGACACCGGAAGTGACCCGAAACGCGCATAAAACGTCAAGATAGAGCAAATCTGACACCGGATTCGTGATCAGCATGCAAAATTAACTGTTAAATGATATCCATGTCGACATTTGATGAACTAAAAATTGCATTCCGGTTTTGAGGTCGATTTCCGGTTTCGTTTTATTAAAAAGTAAAAAGTAAAAGTTTACATAACTCCCGGTGCCAAGCAAAAGTTTTCAGAAAATGGAGACATTGTAACAAAAAACATTGTTTTCGATGAAATATTTCGTGATATTTAATACACTTTTTACTTGCATTATTATTGATGAATGTTGCTTATATCGTTTGTATTGATCTCTTAATTTTTCTCGCAAAATAAAAATTTCATTTAAAAAACTCGATGTCGAATTGGTCCGCTACTACTAAAATAAGCTAATTTGAAAAGAAAATAATATTTGATTGTACTCTATATAACTATTCCAGTATATACGCGCTTGGTTTCACTTTCCTCTCTCAAATCAAATAATCGACGAATCATAAAAGATTCGCCGATTTCTAATTATTAATTATAATGTTGATAGGAAAATTTATATAGGCTTTTCATAATTTATATGCATGAAATATACATCCTTCTGTACGAATCTGACACCCATGGAGTCAGATTCACGGAGTTGAGACACATGAAGTATAGTTTTTAGTTTTTGGGATATATTGCGTGATATACTTCTAAAATTATCTTTGATTTTTAGCCTCCACATGTGCCCCAATACGGAGGTGAATCCATTGGAGGACTAGGAAGTATGGGTGGAATTTTGCAAAACTTCGCCGGTCAAATATTACATCCAAGAGTAAGTTGTTTATTATGATCAATAATCAATATGTGATTCCTGTGATAATAAGAATATAAATTTTAATACAGTGGTAGATATACGTAAAGAAAAAAAATAGAGTCGTTTATTTGGAGGCGTAAATAATAAGCTTGCTTTCTTTCTCTTTTCCTCTATAGTACTATCACATGTGGATTATTGAGCCCTTTTGTGTTTCTAAGTCAGTAGTGTGAGGAGATGTCGTGAGTTGCCACGTTAGCATTATCTCTGGAAAATCTGCGTACAAATTCTGTTGATTTCCCATATTTCATGCTCTTTTTTTTTATTTCTCCCCATCGTTCTGAGTTTGTCGTGTTCTATAATTACGATTCTTTTACAACAGAACTATTATCTGGTCTTTCTTTTTTTTTTTATTCCGAGCTAATACTTAAATTCTTTTCTCGCTATGTTATTTTGTTTTCTTCACAATGTGTGGCAAATCCATTATCATTTTCTTTTCTTGGTTGCAGCTTTAGCTTTATACTGCGTGACTCTTTCTTTTTTCATGTTTCGTTTACAGTTTTATCAAGTATGTTTTTTACCAGTTTTATTGTTTTATTTATTTTAATGCTAAAATTCGGATTTTCCATGAAATTTCCTATATCTAGCTTGAGTATGTTCCGGTCGTTTGTATCAATTATCACATCTTACCACGTTATTGACTTTGCTTTTTTTAGTCTTTCCAGACATAATATTACGCTTTTATCACTAACTCTTTGCTTATTTTTCCTTTTTTTGTTGCTCTACCATTTGATCATCCTTTTTAAGGTCTCTTAATTCCTTTCATTGGTCTCTCTATTTTTTCTTTATCTCTTTAAGCTCCAAACAGTATTCGGAGTAGAATATACTCTTACAACAATGAGACTTAGGGTAACGTTGTAAAAATATAGCAGCGCAGTAGCCTTGTCCTTAGGTATATGTTTAGATTTTTATTTAGTAATACTAGTACTTACATCATGTTTACAAATTTATCTCCATTGATTTCAATACGACTATTAATCTCTTGAATATACTCTGCATTATGAGTTATCCATGTACCTAAGTACTTGTACCTGTTTACTTTTCTTGTGTTAAACTATTTCACCCTTAACTCATGTTTTTTTTTTGTTACAGGATGGAAACCAGCGTCAAAATTATTAAAATACCCTTGCCTTTAATTAGCTTACAAGCAAATAGTAAGCCATATGGACAAATTTATATCACCCACCAACAGTAACAGTTCGAAAGCATTAAATATAGAAGTAGATACAGATATTATAGATGAGAACTTTAGCAAAAAGGCTCGAAGTATCAATTGTTAGCTTCTGCAAATTTCCATATAAATTTGTCCATACTTTCCTCTTTAAATTTTTGGGAAAAATACGAATATGACATTGGAACGAATCTCAAATAATGAAATAATTCTCTCTGTAAAAAAATGTATAAAACATTTTTGATTCTATTTTTATAAGATTGGTCAGTACATCAGATTTATTATATGAATAATTGGTAAATAGGTTTATTATTTTTCAACATGACAAAGTATTGCAAAACCAATGCAAAAAAAACCATATTACGAAATAAAAATATTATTAGATATTAGTCAATTACTCATTAGACATTAAACATATATTACGAAAATGCAGTTGCTGCAAATAGTAAATTGTTTAATGATGCAGAAGGATATGGTATTCTTGTTATTTACTTGCCATTACTTGTAATAGTCCATTACAAGCAAAGAAACTAACAATATTGTTAGAAGAGCTTCATGAATGACCCAAAAAATAAAAAATCAAAAAGTAAACCGTTATTTGATGATTTTTAAAAATGTATCCATGTGTCTTCACCTAGTACACTAGTGTAAACAACATTTAAATATACAATCATCGGTGTAGTGATAGTAAAAACAAAATCATCCTTAAAAATTAATCCAAATGTTCAAGTTTATCTACCAATTTATGGCATTTTGAAGGCCAGAAATTATTAGTATGAGCTCAAGTCAAAAATATTACATTTTACTTAAAAATATTTTTTAAAGCATAATGCTCTTATAATATAGTGCCTTAGTTAATGTCAAGTTTATTATAAAAGAAAGTATCGTAATAAAAGAAAGTATGGGTTTTAAATGAAGAGTTTTTTATCTTAACTAATCATTTTGAGAGTTTAGACTGTGCTTTTTTCGACGTGGCGTGTTTCGCATCTCTAAATTTCGCTACCTTTGTAGATAGCTTCTGCAGGTGTGGTTGTTGGTCAGACATAACTCTGGAGGAGATACTAATAACTGAGGGAAGGATTCACATACAGTAATTGAAATATTCAACGTACATATAGTTGAAATACGAATCCTTTAAAACAAATTTGCAACGCACGCCTCTGATATAGCCGGTTCTTCGCGTCATCGTCCATTGTCGTGTTTCTTCGGGTGATAGGGTTGCTGTCAAACGTCAACGCATATCGCATCTATTGGAGCATTTTTGAGAGTTATTATGGGATTTTTGCATCAAAATAAAGGCAATTGCCATGTTAAGCAAAACTAAATATTTGTGTTTTCAATACTTATGTAATTTACACAACTTCGCCATTTATCGGAAAAGTTGTAAACATTTCAATGGAGATTTACATAATTGTTAGAAATTCTTAATTTTATAGTTTCTAAACTATTTTAAGAAAATTAGCCTCAGTAATGGATAAATGATCATAATAATACGGGGGAATACAGAAGATTTTGTTACATATCTATTTAATTGATAGCGGTAGTGATGTTCATTGTGATTTTTTCAATTAAAACTTACAAAAAAGTGTTTTTTTTAAATTTTAAAAAAATTTACATATTTAGTTGGTTTAAGTCATTATTCCTATGAAAAGTGGGATAAATTTCGAATATCAAGAGTATTTCTGTGTACCATGTAGAACATCACTGCGACAGTGTTAAGTTTCAGATGGAGATAAGAAGTAGCTTTTCTCTTTTTCATATTCTCGGAATACATTCAGATCTTAATCGCTTAACAGATTTTTTTGCAATATAAGTAGAGATTTTTAAAAAGAATGGATTTTTAAACAATATGGAAAATTCTGTATTATAGTAGCTAGAGCAGCCAGGAGAGAAAGGCTAGAGTAATTCATCTTTCATATGTATGAGTGACTTGAGGAACATGGGATGAAATGTACACTACAAAAGCAGGGAGGCTGTGGTAAATCTTTTAGAGGAGACTTCTTATCTCACATGCATCTAACTCGTATAAAGGATTCCCCACACCGACGCGAAACTTTTGCGACGCGAAACCGTTGCGGAACATTCGCAGGCGGAGCACTATTAAATTCATTATATATAATATATAATGAAAACTTACCATTTTCTCCTAGAAATGACCCTATATTATCCCAGACTTTACCCTTTTTTCTTATATTTTTATAATCTTCGTCACTTAAATCATAAATTATAGGATATTGTTTCACAATTTCAATTAGTTTTTCTGTAACAGCCATTTTAATAATTCACGCGAAACTATAACTTGCTATAACTGCAGCGGAAAAAACCGTGCATGCAGCGTTTCATGAAACGTCAACGCTGTTCTGCCGCGACCGTTCCGATTTCCGTCCGAACTTGTCTGAATACATGCATTAAGTCGCCGTGTCTTACGATTCGCCGCGATTCCGCTGCGAAAGTTTCGCGTCGGTTTGGGGAATCCTTTAAGGATACGTACATCTAACTGGTATCGTACAACTCCTACATGTTTCACCTTTCTTCCCTATATATTCATTGGGTCGTACACAGAATAAGGAAGATCTTTTATAAAGAAACTTAGTAGCTTCAGTAAAAATCCGAAATCACTTCGAAAATGTAAACAGGGGCAAGACATCCAAAAGGAGTACAATAATGGTTGACGACCCAAACGAAGGCCGTTATATAGGTGTTTCGATCAATCCACGTTTGATCTCAAGATATATTGGGTTAGTGGCCATGAGCCGCTTCTTCGGCTGTCGGTTTTAGACTCGGAATACGTCAAGTACCAAGATATGAGAAATATGGAAATACGTGCTTGGCGTAGGAAGGCGATGGACACAGGGTTGAAAACCCAAAATGATGATGATACTTCAAGTATTTGAGTTATCGCGTTCAACAGCCAGACCCACCCTTGCAGACTTAGACCCACCTAGGGACAGCGGGTGCGGATTGGGACTTACGACTATAAGCGTTTATAATTTTAGATAGCGAAATAATGATACAATGTAGACACTGTTAAAAAACGAATTAGACGTTTTATTTAGTTTTATTTAAAAACGAATTGAAATAATTAGAATTTTATTTTGATTTGAAATTGATTGATATTATCTTAACAAAAGACGCACTGAACCTCAATCCGCATTCGCTGTCCCGAATGCAAGTGTCTTAAAAAAGCTATTTATAAGGGTAGGAAATGATGAGCCACAAACACTCTTATGCGGGTCGTCCAAAAAAGAGATGGTCCAAAACGTAAAATGATTAGTTACTTCGAACTCTGGTGCTGGCCGTGAAAGCCTCCGATTTTAGTTAATTTTCTGTCTTCCATCTACACTTTACTTCAATGCTACAATGTATGGTAAATATGTAAACATATTGCAATAAAAGCAGTCAATGAAATAGTATACATATTTGACTATGATACCCTTAATTTGGCTAGTCTTTTTATATCTGTTTGTTTTTGACTTTTGTTCTATTAAATTTCGAATTTTTACGATATACCTAACCTAACCTAACCTATATCTCAACGTTTTTTTATCTCTTTCTTATTGTACGTTGCGCTTAGTTACACTAGTCCCTTTATGATTCTTAGAGAAGAATGCTGTTTTCAATTGCTTTAATGCAACTCTTGGTCTAATATTAAGATAGCACATATCTGCGTCATAAAGTAAAATTGTCGATAATAGCCCTTCTCGAGATTGTTTGACGATGATGGATTATTGAAAGAAGAACTTAAGAAACACACAACGCCGAATATTATAAGCAGAATTAGAATAATCAATTAGGAATACAAAAACGGGTAATCAGTAAACGCAGATGGGATACCTGCTGAATTAATCAAATGTATTTATGTTGAAATCCTACACATACTCCTAAATGTATTTTCAATTTTTCATTGCTCAGAGCTTGCTACATTGCAGACACCTAAATTTATTAGTGCCTCACCTACGGAGCACATACATGGACATTTACACAGGCCAATTTTGATAGGATAAGGAAGGCACAAAGAGCGATGGAGAGACAAATGTTGGGTGTATCACTTAGAGATAGAAAACGTAACCAGTGGATCAGAACCAGAACAAAGACAGTAGACGCGATAGAACAAGCAGCAAAACTGAAATGGAAATGGGCTGGACACAATGAACGTCTCCAAGACGGACGATGGAACAATGCCATCGGAAAGTGGCGTCCATACAATGCAAAGAGATCAAGAGGCAGACCACAGATGATGTGGAAAGATGACATCAGGAAACAAGGAGGTCCCACATGGCAGAGAACAGCTCAAGATGGGGAAAGATGGAGAGAACTGGGGAGACCTATATCCATCAATGGAAGGATAGAGAATAGGTTCAAAAAAAAATATTTATTAGACCAGACCAATATTCCAAGTCGATATGTTACCTGGCTTCTGACTGAGCTTCAAAGACCCATTGAGCATAGCTTTTCTATGTCTTGCACATATCTACCAGATCCAAAATTTTCCATCATGTTTTAAATATTTTATAGTTGCTTTTTTTGTTATACTAATAATTGTTTCATGAACATTTACTTTGTCATGCAGAATATGTATGAGTACATGAGTGTGTTCATAAAGTAGTCAAATATGTACTATGAAGCTATCAAAAGATATGTTTAGGTATTTAAACTACTCTCGAAATACTATCTAGTAAACAAATCAGTCTTCTTGTTATTGTTAATTTTAAATAATATAAAAAAACCTAAATATTGTGCAGTTTCTAATAGGTGTGTTGCCAATCATAAAAAATCGTTAATATATAATATGTTCTATAAAATGTTGTATGTTCTTTACATCGTTGATATTCTATTAAAGTTTAATATTATTTAAATGAATATTGCTGGTCGTAAATATACTTGTCACGTTTTCCTACACTTTTAGGAATAACGTTGTAGATTACTTTTCACAGCAATGCCTCTTATACACTTATTCCTTCCTAAATATTCGTAAGAAATGAGATTACTGAGTGATTGATACTAACATATTTATAATTTTGATATTTATTATATACATTGAAGCTATTTTTTAAATACATTTTTTTGTTTATTTTTATATCACTTGCAGCTTTATAGGCGTATTTAGGTGTGCTGTTAAAACTATATAAAGTTTATCAAAAATTTTAAAATTGTAAAAGCCTAGCTTATAAAGTTGAAAATAAAGATTGTTTAACACATTTGTTGTTTAATTTACTTTTTCATAAAATAGTGTAGTGAGCTTTCTGACTAATAGAATGACAAGGAGCTCTTTTCAATAACGGTGGCGAGCCACAGATATTTGACTTGCAGTCAGGGAGCGAGACAGTCATGGAAATTATAAAAAAGCTGTTAAGTTTCTGGAAAAACCAATGGAAATTAGAAGTTTCTAAAAAGGCTGAGAATAAATTCAATAAACTTCAGAAATAATTAAAGAAACTTCCAGAGAAATCGAACGATAAATTAGAAGTTCCTTTTCTCAGAAAAATGCTTTCCACAAGTCTCTAAAATTATCGTCGAAAGTTCTAAAACCAATCGAATCAGTGGCGGCTCGTGGCTAGAGGCAAGGTATTTGTCTCGTATACCGTCTGATAAAAAGACTTCAATCATCATAGGAGATTTGTTGTTTTTTTCCTATAAATTGAGAACCTAAACATGTTTATAAATTAATTCTGGTCTACGTTGTTTGGAAGTAGCAAAATGGGTTATAACAACGTCGTAAAATTTATTAAATTTTTTAAGAGATTATAAGTTTTTTTCTATCGACATTTGAGACAAGCTTGACATTCTCTCTTGTTTCATGGTGTATCGACAATACATTTTGATTCGTTTGAGACAAGAGAAACCTCGTTCATTTGAGGCAGAAGTTGGTGGTAATGAGAGAATTAATGACAATAATATATTAATGTCGCTAACAGTTTGTTGTAATAAATTGCAGCATATGAAATAATACATATATTAATAATCTTAATCTTAATAATAATAATCTCACCTTCCGAAAATATTTGGATCAGCATATAAAACTTTTAATTCATTTTCTAATTTTATTTTATTAAAGAATGATGGATAATTTTTAATTAACCTGTCTAATAAATATCTTGGAAATTCCTTGACGTAACTTTTAAATTTTTAATCGTCAGATGTCAAAAATTTGCAAATCTTCAAAATTCGACAAACGAGTATTTATTTGCATAATAATAGTATCGAAAATTTCAAAATATACTCGTTTCTCGAGATCTGTGTCTGTGTCATGCCTTTGGCTTTTTTTGGGGCGTTATATCAAGCGAGTCCAAAACGTCACTGCGTATAGACTGAAAATTATTATTTTTTATTAATAATTTTGCACCAATTTTGTTATTCTATTTTTGGAATGAATAATGTCAGTTGACTGATTTTGAACAACATTGAATATCAAATCGGTTTGGGTTAACACTTTCTTAAAAATATTTGAAATATGTTAACAGAGTAATCATTTAATAAAGTTTTCAAACCGATTGCTTCACGGATCGAGATATCATCATCCCATTTAAAATAATAATAAAATCAAAAACTTCCAAAAGCTGTTCACGAATATCTGCTGCAGTGAAAACTAACCAAGATTCAAAATTCCATAGCGCCTGACAAACTGTTTACATTTTTTTCGAAACAAACTGTTCTAAAATATTAGTCAGTTTAGGCGGGCTTGGGAAAAATAAAGCAAATCTGTTTAAACCACCATCCATGGTTTAAACTGACAAAAAAGTATCTGCAAAACTAAATTCATTCTATGCCACAGACCACTCTATGCGCATGATACTGAGTAAATAAAGCTTGCGCTGCAATATTTTAACGTTTGCCTGGAGACCATTCAATTCACCAGACATTACGGCAGCATCATCATAAGTTGGCACAAATTTATTTTTGATATCAAAAGATTTTTAATCTGTCCTTTGAAACACCAAAAATATATTCTGCCTTGGCTTTTACTCACGTCTGTAAAACCTAAAATTTCAACCAAGGCGTATCAAATGACAATTGATAATATTGAATGACATGGTATATCGGTAGTTTCATCTACTGCTATTATAATAGTGACAAGCAAATGATTTCCTGAATCTCAGATTTAATAACGTTACTCAAAATGTAACTATAATACTTAATTATTTTTATAATTACCTTGATTTAGCGAATGCTTCGATTCATCGTGTCCCTAACCTAAATTTTAATTCCTGAAAACTTAATACAATATCAGACAACGTAAAACTGCGTGATTATTTTTTACAATTTCGTTATGTTTAATAGCATTTTCACGTTGGGTATTATCTAATGAAACATAGATATTTTGTTTTCCAAATAAATCTAATGTAATGTGGCTGTATGTATGATCTTTCGAAATATCATGTTTCTGTAAAGCCCTAAATAATTCCTTTAAATTATTGTAGCCAGATTCACACCACGGATTTTGATGTTTGCCAATATTTGTCGAAAATAAAATGCAAGGCCAACAGAAAAGTTTGTTTTTTATTTCACTTCCGGTAAGCCATGAGTACTTGCTGTACCAATTATCCGAAAATGATCCATGCCCTCTACATCGTTGAAATAGCACTTCTATGCTAAAGAGAGCCTGTCTCGTACCCACTGCGTTCCGAAGCCCAAACCGCTGATTTTTTTTCGCGTAGTCTATAAGTCTCATTAAGGTGATGGTCCGGAAATCATTGCAGGATACGGATTTTGTTTTCTTTGGTAGAGCAATAAACTTTGACTTCGGCCATGATCTTGGTATTACTCCGTTTAAATATATGTCATTGAATATTTTTGTTAATCGTTGAGTATCGTCGGTGTGAAATTAGATTTAGTTCAGCATATGCATTGTCAGGTCCAGGAGCTTTACAGCTTCGGTCAGCTTACTTAATGAAGAAAAATGTATGTACTTACTTATGGAGATGTACCAACCTCCTCTAGTTGTTCTGCTGAATACGCTTTTTTATATAAAGTTTATCTCCTTTTATATAACTTTTTTGTTGGTTTTTTATTCGAATATTTCATTGATTTTCTTGCGGAAAAGCTTGTTATCATGTTAATGCAAGTCTTAATGGTGAGGTTATTAATAAGAAAACATTATGAAAACTTGTTTTATTTTCAACAATAACTGGTTTAAAAAAGTACAAAAAATACGAACAATTTTACACCAAAAATTACATATATTTCGTGAATATTAATGTATGTTTAACAAAGTTGCAACCGAAAGAGAATATTTACCTATAAATACGAAAAAAGCACCAACAAATTCCAAATGTAATACACTATTATTACCTATTTACTATAAATGTTCTACGATATTTTTGGAAACATAAGTTATTGTATTCAAATAAGCTAAAAATAAATATTCTATAGATATTAAACAAAACAATATTATTATTAATATATTTATATTCTGGCATGTATGTTTCTTCTAGTTAAATTTTTTAAACAGTACTTGAAAATGTGTGCATTTATCTAGAAGTGGAATGATATATGTATATAATCACAAAATATAAAGTAAATCACAGGTTATATGGAATTATTAGAACAAACAGTAGTTTCAGACAAGAATAAGTTACTAATTATTTAGTATGTCAATTTTTACATTGCATTACATTACATACATTGTGTGGTATCTACATAAAAAACAATGTACATTTACTGGCAGCATTAATATAATTTTTATTTAATGCATAATTACTACTTGAAAGAAAAAACGCTTAGTTATTTTGTACATAATGAGCCGACAGGAATCACTGAAAAAGGATCAAAGATAAAAACACTAAATAACAGGAATATACGCGCAAAAAGCACAAAGTTCCTGTGTAAATGTATAATTAAATTATTTCTTAGTTAAATCACAAGGTGGCGCTAGGGAATATCGTTCTTTAAAGTGTTAAGTTTCCAAAAACTAGGATAGTGAATTCCCATCGTTCACATATAACACCTAAAGACCTTTGTAGGTGTCACTAGTAGAGCAAAAACTATAAATCGATTAAATTCTTTTCAAAATTTGCACTTCTATTATTACTTAAAGTGGAAGAAAATGTATAAATTGAAACCCCAATAAATAGGTTTTCTCTTCTTCTAAAAAATGCGAAACCTCTTAATCAATAGGTTACTCGATACCTAAATGTGATACAAATCGAAATACACACATATAAAAACAGGAAACATATTGGAGAGATTAAGGAGCAAGTTATCGACTTGTTTTACACCTAAACAGGTTGTGTAGTTGTCAAAATTTAAAGTATTTAAAACCTAAAAGGAGCAGGAGAAGATTGGAGAAGGGCGAGAACTATATCTGAGAAGAGATATTCGAGGTCTTTTCTAAAAGTACCCATCTTCGTTTACAACTTTCCATCAAAACATTTCAACGACTTCTAGGGAAGAGCGTAATCAGTAACTCTTCACAAATATAACGTAAACTGAAGCTACCAACAAGAAGCATCTAGTTAGCAATATTCTAAACGATTCAAAACTTCTTTGGAGATGCGTTTAAAAATGGCCGTATAACTGTTGATAGTGACCTGATTTCTGAATCACCTTCCAACATGTAAAACTTGTGATTACAGCTTGACGTTGTTCACGAACTAGAAAGCGAGGACATAGCAGAAAAAGAGTCACCTCCCTCACAAGGTGTTTTTCACCGTGAATATGTTCCAATTTTGCGGTAAAGTTTTACAAATATTTCATGGCGCCGTGAGAAGTTAACTGCCTCATTTTAAACGAGCAACGATTGACTTATCACGGTAATGTATCAGCGTATTAATCGAATCTTGTGCAACAGTTTTTGACAAAACACAAAGTTCCACAACTCCATCTGTCTTTGTATATGGATCACGTGACACTGAAGCCATTACAAAAACTGAACTGCAGAACTACGTGAGTAACTTGAGCAACGTAATCATTTGATAATTTTTTTGAAGTATGCCTAGAGCTGGTCTACATCGCATAGATCAGGCAAGTGAAGAAATCAAAAGTTCTCGATATCAACACTAGGTTTTCTGATCGTTTAAAAAATTTTAAACTGCTGCAAAGATCAAAGAGTAATAGGTAAATTTTACCAAATTCTACTGTTCTTAAGGTACTACCAAATCACCAAAGAGATATTTTGGTATTTTAAAAACCCACGCAATGTTAGCTTTTATTAACATCAACTGTATAACTACAATATGCTGAGGAGAATATGATTACTACAAAAATAGGAACTATAAATTTAGTTATTTATTCCTACCTAAATATATGAAAATTTGCTTACTATATTGGCAGTTCTGACCAACAAACACAAGGTAAATGTTTTTCAAACATGCAGTACTAATTTTTTTTTTATTTAGCCTAGCCTAAGATCAAATAGATAAATTCAAATCTGTCATCGAGTTCGCATCGTGCTTATTAGTCAATATATTAACCAAAAACACAAACAATCGTTATATTTATAGGAATTGTTTTAAATAAAAAAAGTAATAGAAAGATGATATGCTACAATTTTTATCATTAGTTAATATTAAAAACAATTGTCCAAAATAAGGGAATGGTAAGTGTATTACTTTTAAATGTGAAATAAACTGCTTGAAGAAATTTACTTACTAAATTCAAGCTATTCTTAACTTTGAAATCCAGCTTTTTCACTCAAAGAACTGACCTTCCTGATAATGAAACCGTGTACCATATACCGTTCTCAAAATAAAGAGGAATACCTGAAAATTGTTACAGTTTGATCGTTTCAAAAATGCACCATTACAAATATTGCGATGATACAAATTACAGTTTAATGTTTTGCAATCGGTACAACTATAACCCGCAACCAAATATTGCGACGTTGACATCATCCTGAAACGCTGTAGTATGCAACATTGCTACACTACTATAACGTGCCAAAACATTGCTATCTTGCAGACAACTAGAATATTCTTCTAAGATTCTTCTAGATATCATGAATTTTCATTATAAAAGGAAATAGAACTTAATGTCTTACCATCATTCTTGAATTGTTTTAACAATATATGTTTATGTAACTTGCAGCAGCAGAGGAATAGTCAGAAACTGTGGAAGTTAAACGCGGCGTACGACAAGGGTGTATTCTGTCACCAGTATTATATAATATATACTCTGAGCAAGACACTATATGAAATGGATGAAGGTATTTTAGTAATCTAAGAACAACTAAATAACACATCCGCTAGATAGATGATATCGTCATATTTGCTGATAGTGTAGAGGGCTTACAATCTATACTCAATAAAGCTACAGAAGTGAATTATGGTTACCAGCTAATCTTCCAAGGAAAAGTAATGGGAAAAAGAGGTTCCGCACGCAGGCTGATCTTCTGGCTTAAAAATTTACACATAATATGATTTTCTATGACAATTACTGGACTGTTTCGAGCACGGAGTGGCCAAATGTGTTACTCTAATTTTTTTTTTTAATCTGAATCTGCATTTGTCACCAGTTTTTATATAAGTGTAGTAGGTTTGACTACACTATATCTTCTGACTATATCGTGTACTGAATAACATTGAATTAGCTGTTTGGGGTTTGTGAAAAAACTGCACTATATACAAAATCAACAAGTTATTGACTTGACGCTTTTTTAAATTACCGATAGAGGCTATTTATGAAGATTTAAAGACAAGCTTACTAAGTGATAAATATAACGTAATGCGCATCGTTGTCTTAGTACTTTGTGTCAGTACGGAAGAGTTTACAAAAACCATCTAGCATATAAACATCTGTAACAAATGTTCTGGGATGTAAAACGATTATAGTTTAGTTAAAAAAAACAGAAATGAATTATTTACTATACAGATACTAACACATTCCCAAGCCTGCAAAAAGACTCGGTGCACAAGTTTGGCTTTAAGCCGACATACCTACTACTTGGCAACATGGCTATTATAGAATACAAAGACTGAATGTCCATCACGGTAAAGTTTCGTAGCAATGGAACAATGGCGAGCGCAAATCTGTCCGAATAGTGGTTAACAACAAATAAAACTTTGGAGTTACGCCACTGAATGATTGACAAACTTGAAAAAACACATCAATGTGTTATGTCAAACAGAAAAAATAGGAATTGACTAATAGAGATCACTTTAAAATTAAAACAAATTTGTAAAATGATAATAATGGTGATGACCCAACTTTTGGTACATATATTTATTATGACAGAACTTACTCTTCTGGTGCACAAGCAACTTTTTACAACATTTTCATAAATTTCATCATTTTTTACAGAATTCCAATGTAATATTTATTATAAATGAAAATAGATTTATTTAAGTAAATATTATTGCACATTAGTGATTTTTTCAGATAATTATAAAGGTACATATTTTTAATTTATTCAACTATTGTAAAATTTTGCTTGTTTAGCCTCACACATGCACAACCTTGACGAAAATAATACATAACTCTTTTAATTTTTAACTTTGGGTTCTTTTAATGGTACCGCCTTACTACCTTCACTTTTTTTGGTTTCAACGGGAGGTGTTTGTTGTTTTGGCGGCGGTGCCTGTTGCTTGGTTGGTGGAGTAGTTTTCTGAGACGGTGGAGTAGTCTGTTGTTGTGGAGCTACGGTTTCCTTTTTAGGTTGTGGCTTACTATCCTTTTTGGGAGCTTGCGTGGGTTGCGCTTTGGGAACTTGTGTTGTTTGTTGTGTAGGTGCTTTCGTTGGTTGTGCTTTAGGTGGTTGTGTAGTTTGAGGTTTTGGTGTTGTAGTTTGAGGTTTAGGAGCTTGAGTGGGTTTTACTTTTGGAGCTTGAGTGGGTTGTGCTGTTGAAGGTTTTGTAGTGGTAGTCGGTTTTGGTGGAGGAGTTGTAGTTTGTTGTTTGACTGGTGGTGGAGGAGTGGTTTTCACTTTAGGTGCTTCTGTCTGTTTAGTTGGTGGTTTCGCAGTAGTGGTGGTAGTAGTAGTTTCTTGTTTTACTGGTGGAGGTGATGTAGTTTTTACTTTAGGTGCTTCTTCCTGCTTTGGCACTTGTTTAGTTTCTACTTTAGGTTCGGCAACAGTTTTGGGTTTTGTCCAACCCATGGAATCCAAAGGAACTCTAGCAATAAAATCATTTCCAGGGCTCCCTAAATACAAGTGATCCTTAAATGGATAAGCTTCAGACATCAGGTAAACATTTTTATTAGTTGTGTGTAGAGCTTCCACTATTTCCCCACTATTGGAAAGACGAAGAACAGTTGCGCGTTTGGAGGGTAATTTTCCAGCCATAGAGCTGTAATGACCAATCTGAAATGACATTATATTTTATATTGTAAAATTTTTATGTTTTAAAATTTAAATAAAAAAGTAAAAATAAAAACTTACGAAATGTACAGCTTTTTGAGCTAATTCATTGGGATAATATCTATCCAAAGTTTCAAAAGCAAGCTGGGCGATGCCAAAAACTCTGCAAACGAATTTTCTAGCAAGAGGAAACCGGGAAAGAAGGAATAGTGGAGCTGGGTTTTCTTCATCGTCGTTTTCAATTAGGGATACTAAAAATCCACCTCTTCCGTCCTTCTCTAAATTATCTGGTATACCTAAAAAATAAATTACAAGAGTTATCATTTTGAAGATGGTTGATGTTCCAGTATTGATATGTCATCGACATATGGTTTTTCTTACATCCTTCCTCAAGAGAAAAAAAAATTGAACAGACAACAAAAACGGACGTGGAGAAGTCCTCATCCACTCCAGACTGTACACTTTAGTACCACTTTGGTTTGGAATCTCTTTTTTAAAACTAGTGTAGTTATTGTTAACTGACAAAAAAGAATATACCTGGTAAAGCGTCAATGAATATCTCTTGAGTTCCTTTCTTTGGACCTTTCAAATAGTACCGATGTACCCTGGCACGAACCGATTCGGCAACTAAAACGAAGTCTTCGTTTTCGGAAAGGACAACACCATTTGCAAAATGTAGATTGTCGATTAGTACTTTGTTGGTTTTTGTTTTAGCATCGTATTGGACTAATCTAAAATACAACAATTATTAGTAACTAAATACGTGATAATAAGTTAATTGAACCATGCATTAAAACTTTTTACACATGCTTTGTGGACTAACAAAAAGCATTCGAAACGGTTCCTGGTCGAAGTTCATTTCGGTGTTCATTCGAACATCGAGTGTTGACTGAAAACAAATTTCATCTATACAAATTAAAAATTGTGCACCAACTTTCAGATGATAATCCCGACCGAAGACTAGAATTACTTTTTCTTGGAATGGACATATTAACACACACTGTGAGGTATTGGAGTGACACAAATTCTCACGTCTTTCGAGAAACACATAATCAATTTCCAAAAAAAAAATAAACGTTTGGGCAGGTATTTTGGGAAACCACATAGTTCTGCCTGTTTTTCTCAATACTAACTTAACCGGTGAAGTGTATCTAGAGATGTTGCAAAATGCAATTGAACCGTTAACACTTGAAATTCTGGAGGATAATCCAGATGAATTCGGCAATATATATATATATATATATATATATATATATATATATATATATATATATATATATATATATATATATATATATATGTGTGTGTGTTCATGACCTACTAGAACATTAAAGGTTTTCTAATGCCTGGTTGCATCAACAGGTCTTAAGTTCCAGGTAGGACCGCCTTAACTCTCATTTACGTTGCACCATTATTTTTTATTCTTATCTAAGCACGTCTTAACTGAGACGAAATTTAAGATGCAATTTACGTGGCAACCATGGAACTTGTCAATTATTGAGTGACGAAAAGAAACATTTTTTATGTTCATGTGCTAATTTAAATAAGTATATTTTTTTAATGCTCTGTCATAATATATGTTAACAACAAAAAGTCATTAAGTATACATTACAGTAAATGACCATTTATTTTTCTTGTATCTTTTTCTGGAAAAAATCAGTGCCTATATAAAATCAACCAATTTGATAATCTACATTATATGGGTTTTTCTATATTATATGGCTGATTATTGTAGTTGTTGACCTTTTCCTGCAAAAATGTAATAAACATTAAACACTAGCAAAGCACCATAGCAACACTGAACTGAAATGTGTACTTAATGAGTTTTTCTTGTCATCAGACGATACATAGTTTTTTTTCTGAATTTAAATATTGATTATATCTTAAGTAGTAACTCTCCTTGTTTTATTTATTTTAGACTGTAACAGATACAGATGAAAATAAAAAAAATGTATGTATCTGTATTCCACAACACAACTGTCAATTTTTTTAGGTTAGATTGCTCATCTTAAACTCAGACAGCTACTGAGAAAGCTGAGAATAACTGGGACTTCAGATTAGGATCGGTTTAAGCTGAAATTTGGTCTAAGACTCAATGTTGCAACGCGTATGTTTCATAGGCTGAGCTGAAGGCACGTCTTAAGCTTAAGATATGTTGGTGCAACCAGGCATTAGTATTTTGTTGATTACATAAAGTACTAACCTTCCTGAAGGATGTGACAAAACGTCAAAAACTAAATCGTACAATGGAAATTTGGTGGAAGAATCGGACCAATAAATATCTCCATTACTTGCCACTGAAACACTGTTAAATAACCGTGGTTTTTTACCATTGATTTTTGTATCAGGAGAAACCAATACTTCCTTAGTCCCTAAAAAATAAAATATAAATTTAAATAGTTCTATAATGTTCAAATTAATCGGGACAAATGAAAAAAAAAAAGATTTTTTTTCAAAAACCCTACTTTGAATCATTATCTACCAGACGTAGACTGAGAAATCTATATATTAGTACGAAGTATGTCCTCCGTTAGCAGAGATGAAATCTCCAACAAGAATTGGTTTTGATCCATTAGTTTAATGCACATGTTCTTGACTTCATCATCGTGGAATCACCCTTGTCTAGCACTTGTTATCATTTTTTCGTTTGTAGTGCAATTCACTATATAGAGTTACTCACTCAAAATATAGGTTGCTACAAAATATCATGCAAGAAAAAATAGCAGGCAAACGCAGTCCAGGACGAAGAAGAACCTCATGGTTGAAGAACTTGCGAGATTGGTATGGTGTTGATACAAGCTATTTAGGGTAGCATTGTAGCATAAATTGTCAATGTAAAAAACGTCAATAAACGTATTTAATTGTGTCTTATTCCCAGTTAAATAGTAATTAATTGTCAAATCAAAAGACTGATATTTTTTGTACACACTTATGACAAGTCGAAAGAAAATGCAAAAAAGTATTTTTGAAGTGTGTATATTTTAGGCAATTCCTAGCTGAGCGCTTTCGGCTTTACAAAGCCATCATCAGAGCTATGGTCAATTTTTTAATACCACTACAAAGGAAAGATCTCATTTCCTTAAATTTCAAAATTATGATTTTGTAGGTGTTGAAATTCTTAAAACATATAAAAATTATTCTCTATTCAGTCTACGTCCTCACATCAATCAATGGTCGGGTTCTTAAACCCGTACCATGACAAAAATTTTTTCAATCTTTTAACGTGTTTGTGAAGTCCAGTGTCGGCTTTTTATATGTTTTTTTATATGTTTTAAGAATTTCAACACCTACAAAATCATAATTTTGAAATTTAAGGAAATGAGATCTCTCCTTTGTAGTGGTATTTAAAAAATTGACCATAGCTCTGATGATGGCTTTGTAAAGCCGAAAGCGCTCAGCTAGGAATTGCCTAAAATATACACACTTCAAAAATACTTTTTTGCATTTTCTTTCGACTAATTGTCAAATGCTTTTTCAAAGTCTATAAAGCATGCGTAGACTTCGCAATTTACGTCTCGAGCTCTTTGTATCAATACTTGTATGGAAAATAGGGCCTCTCGCGTTTCCAGTCCGCTTCTAAGCCCAAACTGAACACAACGTTTTCTTCAAGTTTTCTATGTATGCGAGAGTGATCTGTAGGAAATTCTGCAGTTTCATAGATTTTGTTCAGTAGACTCGTCAGGAGTTTAAGTTGGTTGTTTTCAAATAGTTTCAATATTTCAGGTTGTATATTTCAGAATTATAGATTCTGGGGATTTGGAAGACCACGCAAAACGGAATTGCTTAGATTGCCAGCTGAGCAAATTTTTCCGAGATGTCGACCCGTCTGCTATTTAGTGAAGCATCCTTCAACATAAAATCAATATTGAAACGAACAATAAAATTTGAAGTATGCAAATACAAAATCTTCCGCAGAATGACGTGCTAACATAAGCTCAGATTCATAATTTTTGTTCCGTTCCGTCCCACGATTGGATTTTTGGTTTGGGAGAGGGGCAAGGGAATTTTTAGGATGTTTTGGTCAAGGATATTTTAACTGTAACCCCAGCTGAAGAGGTAAAGCCTCAAATATATGGAAACGGGAACCAAATTAAGAAATTTTGTTTTTTATTGTCCAACAACATCTGTATTTCTAGAGGGTCGGGATTTAAGTATGGAGGAGGAAATATTACTATAAGTTGGCTTAAGTATGATTTTGAAATTGAGGATGGTAATTATAGGAATGAAATTCAGCGAAATTATAATAATGGAACATATATCTATTACAGAAACCTTGAAAAATTACCTGTTTTGACGTTTACTTTAAGGATTCCATAGTACGCATCAGCAACAATCAAATCACCATTTTTATTAAATTCCATCCCCAACGGCCGCCCGCAAATTTGTTCTTCATGGTAACCCTTGCAAGTTTTGCCAGTTTTAGCAACAGGTACCACTTTATCGCCCACAAGTTTAACTATACTGCCACCGTCCACACCAGTGTATAATTCTCCATTGAAATCGGCAAAAGTTTCGGGGCCTACGAATTTCCCCTTGTGTAAGATCTCTGCATTTTGTAACTTTTCGTTGAGAGCTAGTGTACCTTCAAGAGCTCTAGGTTTAGGTAATCTGAAAAAAGGAATAGGATAAGGCATTGCTTTTAAATGATATAAACAAGGCACAAGATACAATAAAATACTAATTATAAAATTTCCATAATTAAAAAAAATATATCAATTAGCACAACTGTCCTTGAAAAATTCCTCTATACTATAGTAATAAAGGGTAATTTAGATAACAAAAACTTCTTGATTGTTCTTCGGAATACAAAAATATAGCTTGAGGATCTTATATCGAGTGATAGGTGATTAAACCCTTTCTTATCAGTGTAAATAAATGATTTTTTAATTAATGTAGAAGAGGGAATTGGAAGTGGAATAACATAATTTAAACGAGTGTTATAAGGGGAATGTTTTTTAAAAAATAAGTACGCTAATTTAAGGATCTAGATGCAAGGAAGTATAAAGATACCATGTTTCCGGAACAGAGGCCTGCATGATGTATCAAATTTGACCTTGCATACATATGAGTGCTCTCTTTTGTAGCATAAAATTTCTACTGAAATGATGAAGGGAACAGCTACCTCAAAAGGCAATACCGTATTTCAAATTAGATTCAATCAGGGCCACATAAACACTTTTTGCAATCTTGAAATCTAAATGGTGAGCAACTGATTTGACCACAAAGCAACCCGAAATAATCTTGTTCAGTACATTAGAGTCCTTGTTTTGCCATAAAATTGTGGTGTCATCTGCAAATATAGTAAACCGGCCATTAATGTCGAGGTTAGTTATTGTTCTGAAGCTATTTTCTTGTGGCATTGTAAATTAATTACTATTAAACTGGGAATAAGCCACAATTAAAGATAAAAATACGTTTATTGACGTTTCAATTTCCACTTCGGAAATCGTTCTCAAAATGCAAACAGTAAATTAAACAAATTTTGTTTTTTGTTACATAGTGAAAAATTCTTCTAATAATTTAATTTTATCTGACTCGTTTATATTGACAATTAAAAAAAATTTCAAACCCACAGTATGGTGGAGGTATGTAGATGATGTACTCTCAATATGGCCTCATGGATCAGAGTTGTTGGACACATTCCTAAATGATAAAACGATTAAGAAGAGACAATAACATTTACCATGGAAAAGGAATATAATAACACGCTACCTTTCCTGGATGATTTAATCTCTAAGAACGATACTGGATATGAGACTCAGGTGTATAGAAAACCAACACACACCAATAGATATTTAAATTTCAAATCAAATCATAATATTAATGTAAAAAAGGGAATAATTAAATCCTTACACGATAGAGCCAAAATTACTTGTTCTAATGAAAATTCGTTCTTGGAGGAGAAACATTTGTTAACATCTGTTTTATTAAAAAATGATTATCCTTTATCGTTTATAAATAAGGAATTTTCAACAATCGCTCGAATAGAACAGAACAACTTAGAACGAGATCCTACAGCATACACAAGGAATAATATGAGGAAAATAACAATACCGTACATAAAAGGACTATCAGAAAAACTTAAAAGGATAGGAAATAAATTCAACATTTCAACAACATTCAAAACAACAAACACGTTGAGATCTATTTTGTCCAAAACCAAACCTAACAATGAACAAGAAAGGACAAAGAATTGCATTTATAAAATACCTTGTGAATGCGATCAGTTTTATTTAGGTGAATCATCAAGGCCATTAAATGTTAGAATAAGTGAACATCAATCTTATATTAAAAATAGAGAATTTGATAGATCTCAAATCTGTAAACACGCATGGGATAATGAACATAGGGTTCAATGGAATAATTCAAATGTAGTCCTAAAAGAAACGGATGGTAAAAAAAGAAAAATCAAAGAAGCGGCTCTAATTATGCTAAATGAGGCCAATTGTGTCGCAAATTCCTCGGCAGAATGTAGTAGGATCTGGTTACCAATATTGAAAGAGGAAATTATTAATAAGAAAATACCAGTATTAGTAAGTCAGTAACATATAGAGGAAACATCATTTATGTTTTTTAAATAACGTAACATATAAAATCAGAATTTTGATGTTTGTTGAAGGTAAACTAAATTCACGAACAAATACGTACAATGTCGGGATAGTATTATGAGGTTTTTTCCTGGTTTTCCCTCATAATTTACTATGGAATCACTAACAGGAGAATTTTACTGTCATCATGTCATGTGTTTGTCTTTTTAAAGACGAATTACATGCTAAAATTTTTTTCTGACGGATATTCTCAAGTTAAAGTTGATTTCATGTAATCGAATGAACTATCTTATAAGTAAAGTCGTCCCAGGAGCCCAACTCAACAATATTGGCAATATCATTTTAAAGTCGTCTACTTTAAAATGCATAATGTATGTCTGACTTGTCAATATAAACGAGTCAGAAAAAATTAAATTATTAGAAGAATTTTTCACTATGTAACAAAAAACAAAATTTGTTTAATTTACTGTTTGTATTTTGAGAACGATTTCCGAAGTGGAAATTGAAACGTCAATAAACGTATTTTTATCTTTAATTGTGGCTTATTCCCAGTTTAATAGAGGTTAGTTATGTCGTTAAAATATATCAAGAAAAATATAGGACCCAAGAGAGAGCCTTGAGGTACTCCACAATTTAAAGATATTACTAGAGTAGCGCTCATTGATTGATACAGACTGACATGTGTCTTCCAAGTATGAACTGAACCACTTTAGAACAGTGCCTCTAAAACCATATCTTTCCAGTTTATTACGAAGTATTTTCTGATTGACACAGTCAAAGGCTTGAGATAGATTACAGAAAACTGCGGCAGCAACATAATTGTTATTTAAGTCCAAGTATAGTTTTTCCAAGAATTCGAAGATGGCATCATATGTACTTTTTAATGACTGGAAACCGAATTGAACGGAAGAAAGTAAATTGTGTTTTTGTAAGAAAGTCATCATTCGGATTTTTACCAATTTTTCTACAATTTTTGAAAGCGACGGTAACATAATTAGCAGATAAATCGTGGTCACCACCTTTATATAGAGGAATAACCTTAGCACATTTTAAACAATCGCTAAAGTGACCCGTTGAAAAGGATGTGTTAATTGCCTCCGCTAAAATTCTCAGAACATTATCAGGAAAAAAGGATAAAACTTTAGATGGGATATCATCCCAGCCTACAGCCATAGGATTTTTAATGCCTTGTATAATATTTTCTATTTCATCTGAGTTATTGGGAAGAAAATAAAAGGAATTTTTAATGTTTACTCCTTTTAAAAAAATGCGTTGGAGCAGAAGAAGAATTAATTTTTCCAACAAGTTCTGGACCTACCGAGCAGTAATATTTATTCAGCTCACTAGGGTCTAAGGCCATATCAATAGTTTGGGGAACTTGTTGTTTGGGAATTAAAATTTTTATGTTGTGTTAAGTTGTAAACCTACCTTAATATTAGTGAAATACATGAAGCCCCAAAGTGAAAAGATGGCGACAGACATGGACAGCCTACAGACACTTGTTCTATGGTTCATTAGAAGTAATTATTAGTTTGTCTTTAAGAGGCTACATCAGCGCGTCATCAAGACGGAAAACGCGTTCCAAGATTGCAGCTTTAATTTTAAATATTTTGACGAGATATTTGGCACACATATAAGTGATATAGTAAAGAATGGCGGTACGAAGCCCAATTTGAGAAATATGTTAGTAAGTGGAAATTACTCTATAACTAAATAAAATATTACAAAAACGAGTTTTTACCGCCATTAAGAAAAACAAAAAAATACACTTTCTTCAAATAAACTTTTTTATCCCAAGCCTAGATTTTGTGTCACATTGGAATTACTAAAATCAATCAAAATCAATCAACTATAACAAGAAATCGAACTTAACTGAGTGAGTTGGCAACATAGAGAAATAGTCACCGCTATCACATTTGCACTTCTACGTCTGTTTTCTGTGTAAGTGATAGCACGATTCTGCTCTGTTATCTGTATCGATATCTGTTCATGCAGTAGTGTATTATTTTCAAGATATTGAAATTCGAGTTTTGATTCATAGTAAAGTAGAGTGTTTGTTTAAAATTAATTTATTATATTTGGGTAATAGAAATGAGTTGTCGGACTATTTGAAAAAAATAGATTATTATTAATTGTGGGTTTTAAAAGTCTATTTATCGTAAACTATGGAGACCAAGGACGACAACAAGAAGCATGGAAAGACCTCAAAAAAGATGGGTAGATGACATAAGAGCAGTGCCAGGCAAACAGTAAATTAGATTGGTGCAAGATAGAGAAAGATGGAAGCAATTGGGAGAGACTTACATTCAGCAGTAGATGGAAAATGGTTGACAAAGAGAGATATGATTATATATATATATATATATATATATATATATATATACATATATATATATATATATATATATATATATATATATATATATATATATACGTTAAAACTTATAAGTAGAGCTCGGATCGAGCGAGCAATTGTCAGGGTAATATTTCCTTTATAGGTACTTCATTTGTTTAGATGTATACATTATTAATTTAGGTAATATATTGCGACTGCTTGTGCATTCACTAAGCAAAAACCAAAGTATTCTCGACATTGAAGTGCAGCAGTTGAAGTGGCGGTATTGGGTCATTGACAAATGGATAATCGACAGTCTATCAGAAAACTACCTCGTGCATCTGGTCTATGAGCATCTAGTGTTTATTGAATTATAAAATACTATAAATTTTATTCTTATAAAATACGATTATTTCATCAATTAAACGAAGATGATCCTGATCATCGACGTCAAATTTGTGAACAATTTAGTGAAATCATAAAAACAACCAACATCACTGTATATTATTATAAAATTTATGATAGGTACTTACTAATTCTTAAGCTAAGATAAGCTAAGATTTTATACTAATTTTCGTAAAAAAGGTTTGTTAAAATTTATATGCTTATGTTTATGATTTTTTATATAATAAATAAATAATAAAATATTTTCATAAAATCGTTAAGCTTTTTGTGCGTTTCTTTATTATTTTAAATCCGATCCGAACTCTAATTATCACAATATT